ATATGAAATCACTTGTTTTCCATGTTATTGGGTGAATAGATGCTCTGTTAGAGCGTAAATGGGAGACTTTTATTGTGAAATTCACTCCAGGATATGTTTTGAAAAGGTCCCTAGAGTCTAATAGAAACAAGCTGGTAGAGTTTGGGTCATAATGCTGAGCCATTTGCATCAATTAATACGCGAGTATAATATAGAGGCTTTTATTTTGTAGGGTCACTGGAGTCTTATTTTGAAAGTCTATCATGGATGTGTGTCAAGGGAAGGGTCATGCCCAGCAGTGATATAGAATCCATTTCTAAATATGAAATCACTTGTTTTCCATGTTATTGGGTGAATAGATGCTCTGTTAGAGCGTAAATGGGAGACTTTTATTGTGAAATTCACTCCAGGGTATGTTTTGAAAAGGTCCCTAGAGTCTAATAGAAACAAGCTGGTAGAGTTTGGGTCATAATGCTGAGCCATTTGCATCAATTAATACACGAGTATAATATAGAGGCTTTTATTTTGTAGGGTCACTGGAGTCTTATTTTGAAAGTCTATCATGGATGTGTGTTGAGGAAAAGGGTCAGACCCAGCAGTGATACTTGATGACTTTCAAATCCTTAAATCACTCTTTCCCCTTTTATTAGGGCAGTAGATGAAGTGGCAATGGGAGGCTTTTATTTTGAAATTTGCTGTGGGGTGTGTTTTGAAAAACCCCTAGAGTCTTATTTTTAAAAAAGTGGTTGAGTTTGGACCATAATGTTGAGCCATATGCTGGAAAAAAAAATAGCAGAAGATTTAGCAGAATTTTAGCAAAATGCCATTCATTTCAATGAAGCAAAAATTTGCAGAAAAAGCAGAATAATTTAAAAAGCAAAAGAGGTAGAAATACAAAAAGACATAGCCGACATGTCCTAAATGAGCTGAATATTGTGAAATTTGAATGGTTGAAATAGCATAAAGTATGCAGAAGTAGTAGCGTTACGAAAAATGGTCGGAAGAATAAAAATAAGAATAAAGAATAAAGAGAAACAGGATCTCAATAGTGTGAATGCCTACAGCATTCACACAATAAAGAATAAAGAGAAACAGGATCTCAATAGTGTGAATGCCTACAGCATTCACACAATAATAATAAGAATAAAGAGAAACAGGATCTCAATAGTGTGAATGCTTTACAGCATTCACACAATTAGAGCATAATTCTTCTATATTCCCAACAACGAAGAGCGTTTATTGAAATGATTGGATGCAGATTATTGGTCCTTCACAGACCAGGAAACAGATTTCTCATCATCCATCAGAATAAATATTTTATACTGACAAAATATGCCGGCTTAAAAGTTTAAAAGCATCCAACAACGTCCAACCGAACTTCTGATCTCCGGCACAGATGAAGAGATGCTGAGTTTGGAGGCAAAGAACAAACCAATAATCCTCCATTCCAAAGATCCATCCAGAAACGTGTGATTGATGCCGATGGTGAGTTTTAATGATGTCATTTTAAATTAAGGGTTCATTACCGCATGTTTTGGTCCTATGAATGTAATAATAGCTCAATGCTCTTTAAATATAGTAATATAGCCGCAAGCGGCGGCTTAGAGCTTGGGCATAGAGCATGGATCCCAGAGTTCAAGTCCCACTTCCACAGCCTCTACTCTGGGTCCCTGAGCAAGACCCTTAACCCCACACTGCTCCCTGGGCGTCGCACGATGCAGAGAGTTGATTTCATTGCTCTGTACTGTGACAGTAGAATGAGAATAAAGTTTAATTCTATTCTATTCTTCTATCCCAGAGGAGGATCTGGATGATGCAGGAGTTTAAAGCTCTTCATCTCCTTCAGATCTTTTTCTTTCCTCTCTGATCAACCAATCAAATGAAGGTCAGCTGATGATGTGTCAGTAAATGGTGCAGATGGACTCACGGGTTCCAGTGTTCTTTGGAGATCCTGTACAGACTGGCAAACATGATGGGCAGGATGACGCTGGAGTTTTCCTCGATCAGACTCATGATGTATTCGTTGTTCCAGTAGTACAAAGCTCGCTCTGCAACCTGGAGGGAAGGAGCAAACATCTCTAGGTTTAGAGAATCGGCAGCAGAACCATTTAGGGCTTCTGTCAGGACGTCACCAACCTGGAAGTGTGGACTGGAAACACATCTGGAGATCTGTTTGAAAAGCGGCTCCTGGATCTTCACGAACTGCGTGGGCTCTATGACGTCCAGAATTTCCTCCAGCTCTCCAAGGAACATCACCTGAGCACCAGAGAAGTGACTGATTATGCACCACTGAGTGTGAATCAACAAGTAGCAGAACCTAGTGATAGAGATCAAGGAGCTTTACCTCTTTCTGACTGCAGGTCTTTGGCCAAAACTTCAGTAATCCCCTGATGACCTGAGGAGGACAATTAGTTTAGATCTATGATTCAAACTGGTAAGAGTGTGTGACCAGGAAGAAGCTGCAGATCTTTGTGGGTCAGAACCAGGAAGGCTGGAATGAGGTGGCAGGCTCTACCCTGCACATCAGCTCTACATCTAGACTACTTTATGAACCCAGAGAACAAGGAAGCATTAGACTGAACCATAATAACTAATAACTCTGTTCTTCTCCTGTGGAACCAACTACCAGTTGTAGTCCATGAGGCAGACACCCTGTCTACTTTTAAGGATAGGCCTAAAACGTTCCTTTTTGATAAAGCTTATAGTTAGAGTGGCTCAGGTTATCCTGAGCTATCTCTATAGTTATGCTGCTATAGGCTTAGACTGCTGGAGGACATAGGGACCCCTTTTTCCTCATTCTGCTTCACTCTATCTCTATCATCCCACTCTGCAGATTCTGTTACTTAAATTTCTAATAAATATGTCATCCTTCCACAGATGATTCAGATGTTTACGTCTCTCATACACATAATGGACTGGATGATATGACTGGACTGTGTCTTCGAAGTGCGTTGAAATGTAAATTGATGCTGTTTAAATTAAATAAGGGGACTTGACTCATCATTGGAACATAAGATATATTTATATCTTAATGTTCCTGTTAAAAATATTTATTTTTTAACAGGAATGGAGTCAAGACTCTTCAAATTTCAACAGATGAGAAATTATTCTTTATACTCCACAAAACACAAAAATGAGGGTAAAATAGTTCATGGATCGACCATTTTATCTAAAAATAAAATATTCATGTCAAATGTCTCTGAAGTATTTCCTTTATTTTTACATAAAAACTAGTTTTGACAAATATTTATAATAATATCTCACTCTAAATAACAGATTCTGGGCATTTTTTTTTATTTAATATTAAATTAAGGATATTTGTCAATTAGATCAGTGAATCAATTCGGTGAATTTTTTTAAAGAATAAAAAAACTTTATTGTCTTCCATAAACTGTAAGCTAGCTCACACAGCTCCACAGACAGTCAGTTTTATAACTAGTTCAGCTCAACAGACCAAGTCACTTTTATAACTAGTCCAGCTCCACAGACAGAGTCACTTTTATAACTAGTTCAGCTCCAAGGGCTGAGTCACTTTTATAACTAGTTCAGCTAACACAGAAAGAGTCAGTTTTTTAACTAGTTCGGCTCCACGGACCGAGTCACTTTTATAACTACCCGGTAGTTCAGCTCCAAGGGCCGAGTCACTTTTATAACTAGTTCGGCTCCACGGACCGAGTCACTTTCATAACTAGTTCAGCTAACACAGAGTCAGTTTTTTAACTAGTTCAGCTCCTGCAGGTGGAGGGAACAATAATCTGTATCTCTGCTGTGATGGAAGCAGCTCAAAGTGACAGAAAGATGACGGCTGTCGTCTCTGTGACATCATGACTGACATGACAACCTGCTGAGACAGTCTGCCTAAAATGACGATGAATGATTGACAGGTCCATGGGAACCTCAGAGCCGATAGTTTTAAACATGGCCGCTAGAAGGAGACGGAAAAAGCTGAAAACAGTCAGCAAACAACCTTCTAATGTTTTATACTTTATAACAGCTGCAGCTGTTTATTAGTTCAAAGGGAACTGCTTGTTCTGCTTTATATCTGAGGACCTGCATCTGGATCATCACAGAACTTCATGGATTCTTAATTGGCATGAGGTGCACGTCTGGTAAAAATACTATTCAATCTATTCACACCTTTTCAGTAATTCTGCTAATGAACAATCAATCCTCTGCAGAGGTAATTAGAGAGCAGACTGATACTTACTGGTTCTGTTAATGTCGGGTCTTTCTCCAAGAATTGTACAATGCAATAAGCCAACTGTGAAAAGATAAAAATAATTAACAGAGTTATTCCAGATGGGTTCAGCAGCTTACAGAGCTCAGCTATTAAACAACACATTCCGGCGGCTCCTGGGGATCTAATTTTGAATAAATTGGATGTTTAAACTTGTCTGGACAATGGTGCACGGCCTTGCAGCAAGGAGGGCAATAGCAGATGGAGTTGATGACATCATCAAGTCCGTCTTCATGGCGATAAGCAAACAGCAGGGGTTCCTGATAGCTGCTGGTTTGCTCGCTGAGGCAAACCAACAGAAGGACCTTGATGATGTGGTTGTCAGGGCAGCAGGTCTATAGACACTGAGGACTGCTGGCTGAGTCTTCTTTGGTCCTGGAACAAGGCAGGAGGTCTTCCACATCCCTAGAACTTTCTCCAGGGTCAGACTAAGGGGGATGAGGGGCTGTAGAATTCTGCTGCTTGTTAAACCCTGACAGGATCTACTTGGTAACTGTGGAGGTAATCTTCACTCTTTAAGTAACACGGGTTTGGAAATGGTGCATTGTCCGTTAGCATGATGGATGGATGGATGGAAGGATGGATGGATGAACAGATGGATAGATGGATGGATGGATGGACGGATGAAAGGATAGTTGAAGGGATGGACGGAAGGATAGATAGACGGATGGATGGATGGATAGATGAACGGAAGGATAGATGAACGGATGGATGGATGGATGAACGGATGGATGGATGAATGGATGGATAGATGGACGGATAGATGGATGGATGGATGAAAGGATAGTTGGAGGGATGGACGGAAGGATAGATAGACGGATGGATGGATGAATGGATGGATGAATGGATGGATAGATGGATGGATGGATGAAAGGATAGTTGGACGGATATTTGGACGGATGGACGGAAGGATAGATGGATGGATGAATGAACGGAGGGATGGATGATGAATGGATTAACGGATGGATGGATGGATGGACGGAAGACGGATGGATGGATGGGCGGATGGATGGATAGATGGATGGATAGTTGGACGGATGGATGGATGGATGGACGGATGGATAGATGGACGGAAAGGCCCGCTGGTAAGGCCTACTGGATGTAACCCTAGTAAAACCTTACGCCATGTTTTATAATCATCTCATATCTAAACTTTAGAAAATGTTTTTAAAGTGTTTGTTTGCAGCGATCTGTTTTCAGGAGAGGATCAGAAAGCTCAAAGGTTTTCCTTCTCTCTTCAGATTTGTCCTGAGTTCAGTTTTCTCTGGTTCAGCAGATCCTCTGAATGTTTGCAGCATAGCAGAGAGAGACGTGATTAAAATCACCTTTTATTGCCATTGATGTGTCTGTAGCTTAGCAACAACAGAAATAATGACATCACAGGAATCCAGTCCTCACAGTAACATGGTGCTGCCGACCCTCCTCTGACTTTTCCAGCCGTCTTTGATCATTGATATCATTCATTTGGACCGGTTCTTTAATTCTCATTTTTACTTTTAATTGCTAGTTTCTGTAGCGAGTGTGGAAATAGAATCTGCCTCGTATCATCAGAGGACAGAATGACAACCTGACCTTTGACTCACTGCACTGGTGTTGTTAGTTGGGTTTTCCTTCCTCCTCTAAAGTTATAGAGCAGCTCTTGCAGCCTGTTTTTACACTTTCTTGTTTCCAAGATGTTCTTGAGAAAACGCAAAAGAGTTTAATGTAGAGACGAATCATTTTAGGCACAACTTAATGGACAAACTGGGATCTGTTTCAAATGATCACTGCAAATAATGTAAATCTAAATAAGCCCTTTTTTTTCTTAAAATAAGTGGATTTGTTCGTGAATTGAGGACGTAAGTGAGACACTTTGCCAATGGAACAAGACAATTTACATTTAAAATAAGAAAAACCAACTGCATCGTCTTATTTCAAGTGCATATTATCTAATTGTCTTAATCTAAGAGTAAAAATACTAATTCCATTTGCAAATCATCTTATCTATCTACTCAAATTACAGTTAAATACACCTAATTTAATAAATTTTTACTTCTTTCTAGATCGATTTAGCAAGTATGAAAGTTGATCTCTGTGTCCACTAAAGTAAAACCTGACTAGTTCCTGGTCTAGTTAAGTAGGATGCAGGACACGGTGGGATGCGGGACTCGGCGCCAAGGTCGTTTCTTCTTGTAGCTCAGAAACTCAGCCTAGAACTGCAGGATGGTCAAAATCAGATTCATATAATTATTTTATTTTATTAATTGTCTTATTTGATAAGTATCAGATGCAATGTGTTTAAATTAGGTTTTAAACAATGAGACTGCCTGTGAAACTACAACCTTTCTATTATATTACAGTTTCTAGCTATAGGAGGGGGGTCTGAGTCATGTTTCAGTTAAACATAACCCTGACAACATTAAAAGTCCTTTTAGGACTCTAGAAAAGAATGACCCAGGATTCCTCTTTCTTTCCAGTTTGAAGCATTGTTTTAGATTTAAAGATGTAAATTATGTGCTGGAACCCAACCTGCCATGGTTGCTACAGTTATGAATCAAGCAAATACAGTGTTATGAAAAAGTTTGGGCACCCCTAGTAAGCTTAATAATTTCCACTTCAAAATATTTGGGTGTTTGCAGCAGCTATTTCAGTTTAATATATCGAATAACTGATGAACACAGTAATATTTAGACACTATACACAAGTGTAAACAGAAAGAAATTTCATTTAGAACAGCTCTCTAGACAATTTCATTTCTTAAAGTGCAGCCTTGATAAGGTAAGCAGCAGTTGTTGTTGAGCTGGTACTACTGCCTCCGGCTCCTGAAGCCCCCGCTTCTCCTGGCTCAGGGGAGAAAGAGGACAATGATGATGACGATGCTGTGAGGGTGGTAACCCCCTGGGTTGAAGAGGCTGATGTAGTTGAAGCAGCAGTGCTGCCATCGGCAGGTTTTAGCAGCAACAGATGATGATGGAGAAGGTGTGGAAGCGGGAGGGGGCCGGGAGGGGCCGGCTGGGGATGTTTCAGCATTTAGCAGGGAAGCATCTAGAGTGCTCTCCTCATTTTCACCTGCAGAGGGCAGTGCTTCATCTCTAGATGCCGAAGATTTCCTTGGAAGGGTCTCAGAGGAACCTCCATTCACACAGACTCTTTATTTCTATCGGCGCGGTAGAGCAGCAGCCCCCCTGAGCCAACAGCACAGTCCGGTACTGTTGAATGATGGCGCAGCAGTTGCATATCTCCTTTTTTGAAGAGGGTTCCAGTCAGAGATTATCCTTTTTTTTTTTTTTTTTTTTTTTCCAACGAGCAGACGTTGGAGAGCAGGATTGATGGAAGCGGAGGCCTGTGGGGTTTTCTTTAGCTTCACAGTTAGCCTCCCTTTCTCAGTCTTGCGCATCTCCATCCGTTATTTTCCGCTGTTGTTTTGTTGACATCATACCGTAGCACTTTGCAGCTTTTTAAACGGCCAAAAATGTCATTATTTAAAACATTTTGTGACCGTTTCTCCAGCAGGCGTTGGCAATCATAGATGCGGGTTTGACGTCTAGTTTGTATCGTTTTAAGCAGCATATTTAGTAAAACTGTTGAGAGGAGCTGCTCTTGGTCGCTGCCGCCATGGATTTTCAATATTTCAGTATTGTATTGAGGTTTATTGGACTAACAGAAAATGTACAGTACGCATTAAAACAAAATTTGACAGGATCAAAAATATGGGCACCTAAGCAAAAAAAGAGACATTAATATTTAGTAGATCCTCCTTTTGCAAAAAAGAACAGCCTCTAGTCGCTTCCTGTAGCTTTGAATGAGTTCCTGGATCCTGGATGAAGGGATTTTTGACCATTCTTCTTTGCAAAATAATTCCAGTTGAGTTAAGTTTGATGGTCGCCGAGCATAGACAGCCTGCTTCAGATCATCCAACAGATGTTCAATGATCTTCAGGTCTGGGGATTGGGATGGCCATTCCTGAACACTCGGCATGAATGCCTGAGTAGATTAGGATCATTGTCTTGCTGAAATATCGATCCCCGGCGTAACTTCAACTTCCTAACTGATTGTTGAACATTACTCTCAAGAATCTGCTGATATTGAGTGGAATCCATGCAACCCTCAACTTTAACAAGATTCCCAGTGCCAGCAGTGGCAATGCAGCCCCAAAGCATGATGGAACCTCCGCCTAATTTTACAGTGGGTAGCAAGTGTTTTTGTAGGAACGCTGTGTTCCTTTTTTTATGAACAAACAACTCAATCTTTGTTTCATCAGTCCACAGGACCTTATTCCAAACTGAAGCTGGCTTGTCTAAATGTGCTTTTGCAAACCTCAAGCGATTCTGTCTATGACGTTCTTGCAGAAAAGGCTTCTGGCGCATCACATACAGCTTCTCCTGGTGCAAAGTGCACTGAATTGTTGAACGATGCAGAGTTTCACCAACTGCAGCAGGTCTTTGGAGGTGGTCTGTGGGTTGGAGGTGGTCTGTGGGTTGGAGGCGGTCTGTGGGTTGGAGGCGGTCTGTGGGTTGTCCTTGACCATAACTGTCCCTGTGGTCTTCCATTTCCTTCCCATGTTCCTCACAGTTCAAATCTCTGAGACAACTTTTTTTATCCTTCCCCTGAACGACTATGTTGAATAATCTTTGTTTTCAGATCATGTGAGATTTGTTCTGAGGCGCCCATGATAAATCTTTAGAGGAGATTCAAACAGGAGAACAACTTGCAACTGGCCACCTTATTAGATGCACCTGGCTATGAAGTTCAAATCCTAATGAAGTTACCAAACCAATTTTGTGTTTCATTGAGTCAGGAAAAGTAGTAAAGGGTAAACAAATCAATAAAATGATCTATAGCACATTTTCTGTTAGTTCAATAAACCTAAATTCAATAGTAGAATATTACTGTGTCCATCAGTTATTAGATGTATCAAACGGAAATAGAAGCTGCAAACACCCAAATATTTAGAAATAATTAAGATTAATAGGGGTGCCCAAACTTTTTCATATGACATTTCAGCTGCACAACATTATACTGCAGTGGTTAAAAAAAAAAAACAAAAAAAAAAACAGAAGTTATATGAAGTTTCAGGTAATGCTGATTTTGACCAGACTTGTTTCATTACTTTTTAGTTTATTAAAAAAGTCAGTCGTGTGAAGTAATATTCAAAGGTTATTCACTTGGTTGGCTTCTCAGTCCGCCACGTTCATTCATTAGGTTCTATTTATTTATGAACATTTTGGGTTTTACTTTCATTATCAGTACGGAACCAACAAAGAGTTTCAGCCTTTGAGTAACAAACCAAAGGATGTTGATTTATATATAAAACTTCCTTGGTTCACAAACATGTTGCAGAACAGTTTAAATGTGGGACAGAAGTGAAAGTGGTCTTACTTGAGCATGGAAGAGGGAGAGACTCCGGACCGTATGAAGCGGGATCAAGACTTTAACCAGGAACTGCTTATGTTCTGCTTTCAGAGGCAGAGCAAAACCATTGATTATACTATTGGGAAAGACAAAGAGACAAAACAAAGTTATTAAACACTGAATGTTACTAAACAGTAGTTTGACTAGAAGATGCAGCCCTGAGAACACAGATCAGAGCAAAGGGAATATTTAAATATATTAGATTTGCTCATTTAAGGTCAAATAAAACCTTAAACCAAGCAGTTTAAAGTCAGCTTAAGGTTTAAGGATTAGCACCTAATCCCTTATAATCTGCCATCTGAAAATTCATACTGACTGAAACATGAAGCTTTTTAAATTATCGGGTTTCAGAAAATGTAAAGCAGAAAATTTGCTTTCCTCCAAATTTGAGACTCCTAACTATTCTTCTGAAAGCAGAGTTACCATAAAACTCACTGGGGACTAAGAAACGGCAAATGTTTCGTTTTAAGCCTGTTCTGAGGAAACCAGAGATATTTAGTGAAAACTCATAAATCACAGTGAATCACTCCTGAACTTCAAAGATAAGGAGATTTCAGAGGGCAAACGTTGTTACCATGTGAAATAAGATAATGTGAAGAGAGTAGAGAACGCTGATGAACGCAGTGCGTACCGAGGACCCTACACGCCGCTGGGACGCAAAGCACCAACAGCTCAACTTCCTCACACCACTCAGTTCACTTCAATCAGAAAATCACCTAAAGGGGAACGAAAGGTTCAACCAAACTATCTAAATTCAATTGACTGCGTTTAACTGTTATCAATAATTATATTACAGATGTGCTCTACCGACCGGACATCGCTCTACCGACCGACCAACAAAGTACTGACCCACCAACGCTCTGCTGACCGACCAACAGAGTAGCGACAGACCAACGCTCCACTGACCGACCAACGCTCTACTGACCGACCAACGCTCTACCGACCGACCAACAGAGTAGCAACCGACCAACGCTCTACTGACCGACCAACAGAGTACCGACAGACCAACGCTCTACTGACCGGCCAATGCGCTACTGACAGACCAAGGTGCTACTGACCGACCAACGCTATTGTATTGTATTGTTGCCCTATTTGTTGGTACTCACCAATACGCAAATCTAGTCCTAAGTCAAAAGCAAGCGTCCACCACTAGAGCTTAGTTCTCCAACTTTATCCCTATTCTAGCCTCTTAATAACACACAGCAGCAGCCACCAGGATGAACAAAAAAAATATAAAACAAAGTTTTTTCTTTTGCATTTATATTTTTCATATTTCTAATATAATTATTGATCACATTGAGAAACAATCTGGTGAATTAAAGTAGTTAACCTTTCATTTCCCCTTTAATTAACACTGAAGAACCTAGGCTTCCTCTAGAAGTCCAGTCTGCTCTGTCCCTTCTTGGAGACCTCTACCCAATTGTGTCTCCAGTCCAGGTTGTTGTCCAGGTGAACACCAAAGGATTTCTACTCCTCCACCAACTCTACTTCTTCTCCCAAGATGTGAATAGGATTCAACTTATTCCTGTTTCTTCTGAAATCTCCAATTATCTCCTTCTTTTCATATTCAGGATCAGATGATTTTTCACACCATGCCACAAAGCATCCTCCTTGAGGATGAAAGGATCCATGATCAGGTTTGCCTACACAAATATACCTAGCTCAGCTCAGGACCTGCATCGCTTTGTTCTACACCATCTGCTGTTCCTTTAACCCTATAATGCCAAATGTATCGTATTTGATACATACGGTTTCTACAATGTTTTGCTTCTGACACCTTTTGCATAATTTAATGGTAAAAACTTTGCTCAAAATTCTATTGTACACAATCAGATATACCTGATAACAGCCAGTAGAAGACTACACAAAAAATAATCTTTACTTATCGCATAGTAATAAATTATTAATATCAAAGATGTATTTCTGTTTTTTCTTTTTACATATTTTGTTAAAAGGGCAAATAAGGAATTCAAACCAAAGAAAAGTAATTTTCTGTTTTGTTTTATTCTTGGATCGGGCTTTAAAGGGTTAAAGCGACCTGTATGGCTGCTTTGCTCACAGCTCTGTGAATTGTTATTGGCCTCCTTCCTCATCCCTGGAGCTTCTCCTTAGCCAGCAGACGAGAATTTAGTTTCAATGATAAGTTGGTATGAAGTTAAGTTCCATGGCCTTCGGCCAACCAAAATGACATTCTCTGCAGCTGTCCTCTTACACTGAGGATTCAGGAACACCTACAGATTCAGCATTTCATCTTATGGGACCGTCCCGTCTCAATGATATCATTGTTCACCTACTTCCTCACCATGTGAGGTCGAGACAATCTCCATCCTCTAACTCAGCCATCTGAGACATCTTCTCTCTAACACTCAGTCTCTCCAGTCAATTCATTTCTGACAACCACCTGAATATCCCCTGTTTATTTGGAGCCTGGCTCCTTTAGTCAGACTGAACTGCTTTGAGAATTGGAACAATAGAAATAAACTAAAAAAACTCATTTCCATCTGATATGCAATAACTGAGAGAAGTCAGATCTGACAGTTTCATCTTTCCATTTAAAGACGACATCTCTGAACCTTTGGTCAACACGTACCTCCCCAGTATCTCCAGCAGCTCGGCCACTCCGTTGAAGTGCTCCGTCTCATAAACAAAACTGAAACAGCAAAAAGTTTAAACATCAGTCTTTGAAAGAAGGAAAGTTGATAAAATACAAAAAAAAGAAAACATTATTCTGGAAACTTTCTCCTCATAATTAGCAGAAACAGCAAGAAGAAAAATAAAGATTGGCTGGCCCCCCATAACTTTAATAAACTGGGAGTGCTCATCTAAAAAAAAACTCACCGTAAAAAAATATTGTTGATCTGTTTTCGTATAAAAGCCCTCAGCCCAAGAAATTTCCCATAGATTCTATGCAACACCGTCTTCAGATAGTCTCTTTCTCGAGGATCCTCGCTGTCAAACAACTCCAACAGCTGGACGACGACAGAAAACCAGCAAAGTGATCAATTAGAAAAGGACACTAATGCAGTGGAAATGAAAGCAAAAACACAAACAACTGGTCGAAAAGAATTTTAAGAAAAGACATCTCACCTGTAGAACAAACTTCTGGTCTATGTACTTTTTGGCAATGCTGGGCTGGAACTCCTGACTCTCCAAGAACCGGATGAAGAATTCATAAACCAACTGAAACAGATTTACAGGGTTAGGGTTAGGAAGGGTTTACCACCTAAACTGGGTTAGGGTTTTTATTTATTTATTTATTTATTTTTGGCGGGCGGCAATCAGCAGCTGGGTTAATATTGTGATCAAATAGATCTTTTTCTGCAGGCTGGGCGCCTCCAGGCGTATCGCTGCCCCCCTCAGGACACTAGCTTGTGCATCATTTCATTGGCATTACGCTGCCGTGCATTATGCATAAGTTAGGCTGTTGTTGGACAGAAGTTCTGGACTCGTTATGAATACTCTATGTATACGCCCAGAATAGAAAAATACATAGAAAGTTGAGCTTATGCCAGCATTTTAGGAGATTCTGGGACATTAGGCAGACGCTGGATAAATCAGCAAGGTAGGACAGGAGTCAACCCAGGGTGATGGCGTCACTGGACATTAGGGGTGTGCAAAATAATCGTCATGACGATGCATCGCGATTCTAATTTTTGTGATCTACTGCATCAGTTCTTAATGCCAAGTATCAATTCTTAATTAAAAAAAAATTACCAATAAAATACATGAATGGTTGGCGCACATTAGAGCAAACCAAGTGTAATACTACTTCCAGTCCAGCAGATGTCGCTGCGGATGTGTTGACGCCCGCTGCTTTGTGTCACAAGCATTTCCGGCCGCGGGATACTGTGACGAGTCATTCGTAAACAAAACATGGAGAACAGTGAGAAAATTCACCCCGCGGCTCCATCACATTTCAAGTAAGATGCTTGGATGCATTTTGGCTTTAAAAACAAAGAAGGTAAAAATGAAATTGATATGATGCACGTCATTTGCAAAAGGGGAAATGTCACACATTTGAATGTTTTCATTTCATTGGTTTAAAGGACCACTGAGGCCATATAAACGGCACTGATTATCCTTATTTTGTCATTTTAAGTTTGATGAATCCTAAGATCTTTTTGTCAGTGTGTCCACACCAGCAATAGTAATATTTCTGTCCAGTATTTGTTTTCATGGCAACACCTCCAAAGGTCGTTTCAATAAATACAGCTATGTATGAATTCAGTTGCTTTGTATCAATTGAAGACACTATCCAGATCACACACAGCCAGTCAGCCACTGGTAAGGGCTGTATCTTTTTCTTACAGTGTTCAGTGAAAATATCGCAATGCATCGCAATATTTCAAGTATCGTGATGCATTGTGATAGAATCGCATCGTGGCATGTGAATCGTGCCAGCAGGAGGGGTCTGACTGGCTTTAGAAGGGACCCTCCCCCACCTATTGTTTTGGATTGCTGGGCCAAGAACACGAAGGAGGAAAACACCTGGGTGTCCATTTTTCTTCCAGAGATAAACTAAAGCAAGATTAAAGTGTTTTTACTACAAACTTATTTCACATCTTTTACCTGTAAATGTGGCCAGGAGGCCTCAAGCGTGGGTTCATCTTCCTCTGGGTCAAACTCATTGCTGTCACTGGGTGGAAGGGTCCGGAAGATGTTATAAGAAACCTAAAATACACAAACAAGCAAAGTAAAAGTACTTGGATGTTAAAGCTGAAAACAAATGTGACCTCAGATCAAAGTTAAGATGGAGGACAGAGATGGCCTCAGATAGTGAACTTTTTGAAGAGCTTTAGAGCTCATCATAGCACTGAAACAGCTCTGGTAAAAGTCACTAATGATATTCTCATGGCCTCAGATAATGGACTTGTATCTGTGCTCGTTGTTTTGGATCTCAGTGCTGCATTTGATACACTTGACCATAATATTCTTTTAGAAAGACTTGAATATTTTGTTGGAATTCAAAGGAACAGCACTAGACTGGTTTAAATCTTATCTATCTGATTGATTTCAGTGTGTTCACATTAATGATAAATCTTCCTCATGCTCAAAGGTTACCTGTGGAGTACCACAGGGATCCGTGCTAGGACCAATTCTCTTTACTATATATATGCTCCCAATCGGTAGAATTATTAGACAGCATGGGATTAATTTCCACTGTTATGCTGATGATACCCAGCTATATCTGTCTATAAATCCAGATGAAGCTAACCCATTACATAGATTGCAGGCACGTCTGAAGACATAAAAACCTGGATGACTCTTAACTTTCTGCTCCTGAATGAAGACAAAACAGAAGTTATAGTGTTTGGACCAGAGTCTTTGAAAAAGAAGCTGATTAGTCAGTCACTTCATTTGGATGGGATTAAACTGATTTCAGATTATAAAGTAAAAAATCTTGGTGTTATGTTTGTTCAGGACCTGTCATTTAAATCACATATCAAAGAGGTTTCTTGAATTTCCTTCTTTCATCTGAGGAATATTGCAAAAATTAGAAAACTCCTGTCCAGGGGTGATGCTGAGAAACTAGTCCATGCATTTGTTACTTCAAGGCTGGACTATTGTAATTCTTTACTATCAGGAAGTCCACAAACTGTAGTTAAAAGCCTTCAGCTGATCCAAAATGCTGCAGCCAGAGTTCTGATGAAAATGAAAAAGAGAGATCATATCTCTCCTATCCTGGCTTCTCTTCATTGGCTTCCTGTTAAATCCAGAATAGAATTTAAAATCCTCCTTCTCATATATAAAATCCTTAAATGGCCAAGCTCCATCTGATATCAGAGATCTGATTGTTCCTTATGTTCCTAACAGAGCACTTCGCTCTTAATCTGCAGGTTCACTAGTGGTTCCTAGAATTTTTTTAAATGGAATGAAAGGCAGATGGCCTGTTTTCCCTTTGGTTTTGTAATTAGCATAATTATTAAACTAGATATTCTCAGTTGGGTTTAGAAATCACTGATAAAGGAAAGTTAATCAACTTAATCCTCTGCTAAGTTTTATTTTACGCTTCCTCTGTAATTGTGGTACATATCTTAGGTTATGTGGAGACGCAGTCATTTATGCAACAGAGGGTCAACTGTGCAGCAAGGGGTGTCCCAATTCCAGGAGAAGATTGCCCTAACCCTTGTGGCTTCTATTCCAGGGTGAGGGCAACTGGTGTGACTGGGAGGTATACTGGGATTAAGCTATAGGCAACATTTTTCCTCATCTCAAATTTCCTAATTATATTCCTTGCTTTTACTCAAACTTTTAGATTTATGTTTAATATCAAGGATTAAATCCAGTTTTGGATTAAATAGCAATAAGACAAAATTTGAATGAAGTGAATTGTCACCTTCCAAATAAACTGAATTTTACTGTTTTACAGTTGAGTTAGCGAGGCTAACTGTTTCCTCCTCCTAAAGTGAACTATGAACACGTGAAGGACTGGTTCTAACAGCTTAGCTTCTAAGCATGGCTGCTCTTTCTTACCATTTTGACCACCTCAGGATAGGCCTGCTCTGTCAGGTAGCCACGGCTGACAGTCACGTAGTCCACCAGCTCGTTGAGGGTGGAGCGTTTATACTCTTTCATCTTGAGGTCGGACAGCGTGTCCATGAAGTCGAAGACGGTGCAGCACTGTTGTAGCTTCTTTAAGAACAGTTCCGGCTGCTCCGGTGCTGGAACGTCTGCATTGGATAGAGAAAACAGGAAACATCAGAAAACTAAAGAACCACGGATGAGCAGGAACGTCTGCATCGGTTAGAGCGGAGGTCGGCAAACCCCGACTCTGGAGCTGCATGCGACTCTTTAGCATCCCCCTTGCAGCCTTTAAAAAAAAACTATGATGTGCAGGAGGTCAAGCAAAAATTACGTTTTCCAATGCTGTAAACATTTGTATAATAAACATATTTAAACAATAATTAGCATCATAGCCATAAAGATCAGTGGTCATAACTTGGAACCAGTGTGGCGCGTTGCCAGGGAAACAAAGCTGCAGGTGTTTCTAGGACCATGGATCCCAGAGGGAAAAAAAAGAAAGATAGTTGATGAGAAAAGAGGATTCAAACAATGGAGCGAATCATTTGCTTTCATTATTAATGCGGAAGGATTGCTTGCATTTTTGCTTTGTAATGAGAGGTTGTCAATAAATATAAAATAAAATTTGGAAAGGCATTTCCAAGATAAATATCCAGCCGACCACCAAGCTGGGAGGGAGAGAAAAAGTCAATTGCAGAACTTCTGGATGAATTAGAGGAGATTAAAGATAGATTTAAGGAGTGGATTGCATCTCCAAACTCCACTACTGCTGCTAGTTTGGTTGAAGCATAGAAAACCGTTCTCAGATCCAACAGGTAGCGCTCTGATGCAGGGATGGGAAATTTCCTCCATTTTTCCCCCAAATCTTAAAAATATAAATCCCACCAAGGAACGCTGGTGACGGAGGATGCGGGATTTCAGGGTTAGAGAGCTCTGCTCTGATGGATGTCAGTTCCTGCTCGGTTCCCCATGACTCAAACAACTCCTCCCAACAGAAACACGTCCACCACAGAAAGATTCCTTTATTGTGTTTCTATCATTTTATCAATGGAAACAAGCGGCACGATGGGGAAGCGGTGTGTGATGGGAGCGTTCACTGCTCGTCCATCACCTCATGCAGCTATGTGACATTTGCTCCAGGATGAACATTTAATCATGAATGCTTATATATTTAATCCCACAGTCCTTTCTATAGTGGGATAAAACACTTAGAGCCCGTGTTGCCATACGAGGCTGATAGAAGACTTTTACATTTTTGCGGCTCCAGACAAATTTATTTTTTGTTTTTTTGGTCCGATATGGCTCTTTGAGCCGTTTGGGTTGCCGACCCCTGGGTTAGAGGAAACAGGAACTAAAGGACCACAGATGAGCTGGAACGTCTGCATCGGTTAGAGAAAACAAGAGAACATCGGATTGAGCTGGACCAGGAGATCAATGGAGGGGATTTTTATTTTGAATCCATTCCACAGCTGTAATAAATACTCATGTGAGCAGTTTTATAATCAAAAACACGCCTGTAAACTCATCTGCATGCACATGTAGCATGTGCAGGTTTAAAACTTGGAAGGTTAGGGTGTAACATTTTTTTTCCCTGTTTTAACACCCCCCCTTTCTATAATCAGGTTAATATTAATAACGATAAGAAGTTGTTTGGTTTATTTTCATGGCCCATCCTGCCTCCCTGCAGCTGGACTCATCAGTCAAATGTTCCTGATCCCATCAGGCCGCTCCTCCTCATGGATATCGTCCATCAGACGGCCTCTGATGCCCCAGATGCTCCAGCAGCAGCACGGCTCAGGTTGCGGGAATCCGGCTCTGAAGTCAGGTGGCGCTGCGTCACTACAGCTCACCACCACCACCACCTGCTGCTGCTGCTGTTCAAAACAAAAAGCAGATCAGTGCCGCTGTGTATCTGCAAACTCCTGAGGATTTATAGAATGCTGAGATCTAGATGAGCTCTAAAGCGCCTGGATGTTCTCTCCACTCAAACATCTCAGCCTAAAGGAGAAGCAGAGGAGCTGCTTCAGAAAGTAGTGCTAGCATTAGTGTTATTGAATATGGAGCCATGTTGCTCTGCTTCAATCATTCAGGTATGTTGGTTCCTCTGCTCCTCTTCATTTTCCCTCATTTGCTAACGATGAATATCAATGAACCACTGAGGGATGAATAGATCCAACAGGATCCCCTTTAGATCCAACGGGATCCGCTTTAGACCCAACAGGATCCGCTTTAGATCCAACAGGATCTGCATTAGATCCAACAGGATCCGCTTCATTCAGACCCAACAGGATCGGCTTTATTTAGATCCAACAGGATCTGCATTAGATCCAACAGGATCTGCATTAGATCCAGCAGGATCTGCATTAGATCCAACAGCATCTGCTTTAGATCCAACAGGATCCGCTTCATTCAGACCCAACAGGATCTGCTTCATTTAGATCCAACAGGATCGGCTTTAGATCCAACAGGATCCGCTTCATTCAGACCCAACAGGATCCGCTTCATTCAGACCCCACAGGATCCGCTTCATTCAGATCCAACAGGATCTGCTTCATTCAGATCCAACAGGATCCGCTTCATTCAGACCCAACAGGATCCGCTTCATTCAGACCCAACAGGATCCGCTTCATTCAGATCCAACAGGATCCGCTTCATTTAGATCCAACAGGATCCACTTTAGATCCAACAGGATCCGCTTCATTTAGCCCCGACTTGACAGGATCCGCTTCATTTGGACAAAATGAACCGATGGAATCCGCTTTATTCGACATGGATCTGAGCGAGGATCTTGGTGAAATCAGAGGAGGCATCAGCAGTCCTGGACACATAATGCACAGATCCAGCAGCAGCAGACTGATGGAGCAAAGGTCTGATTGTGGCTCAGGAACACAGACTGTCTTCATGAGAAAACAGGGATTGATCACATGTGAGCCATAATCAAACATGGTTTAGAGGAAGGTCTGTCCCCCCCCTCCTAATGTCTAATTATTTTGGGATTTAAAGAAGCTGCTTTCCTGTTCAAGTTCACCTTTGCCACATAAGAGCCAGATAGTTGCTGGTAGAACCGGGCCCTGACAGCACAAGCTAACTTTAACACACCATGCTATGCTATGCTATGTTGTGCTAGCAGCTACATGTCCTTCAATGGAAACTGGGACTCACTCAGTCAGATTTCCTTCTCCCAGTAGGAACCAGCAGCTGGAGCAGAGCGTCATTAATGGGACTGAGGGAAACAGTTTGGGTCAAACATGGAGGAGAAAGTTTCCAGGCTCCTCTGTTGATCAGTTAGTGGCGAGCAGAGCAGGAGAAATGTAAAGAGACACCATGTGGATCAGGTTTCTCCTGCAGGGAGGACGGACCCCGCTGGAAGACGAGGGGTCGGGGGTCTTCATTGGACACAGTTGGACAGAAACGGCAGAGAGGCTGGGCTGAACCAAGCAACTATTTCTGCTCCTATCTGCCCTCCTACTGGATCCTCCTGACAGAAGCTGCATCAGAGCAACATGGAGACCCAGAGAACCTGGAAGAACCAAGCTCTGCTTCTACAGGAGAAGCTCTGGGAGGAGCTCAGGGGGTGGGGGTGAACGGCGTCCATAGGCAGCTGGAGCTCCTGCTCCTCTGAGCTCACAGGACGGAGACGGAGCAGAGACGCCTCCACCTCTTCAACAGTTATTAGGACCAAGATAGTGAATGGTCTCCTCTCTGGCTAAATACAGACCACCTGGACACCTTTGCAAGGTTTCTCACAACATTCCATGAGGCGCGGAGCTACGGCGAGTGTAGGAGACGGAAAGAAAGACCCTCCTCTAGACGTGGAGGTAGGAAGGCTATCATCCTAAAACTGATCCCAAAGGAAGGAAAATCAAAAATGAACCCAAATTCCTGCTAGGGATGGGCGACACATCCACAAATTATAATCTGAGGTTTTCATACCACATCAAATTAATCCATATTTCTAGACTTTAGTTTCACCATAAAAAAGGACAGTTATAGCTTTAGTTGATGTGAGCACAGCAGCCAGAGGGCCAGCCTCTGGAAACATCCCAACTGTAGGATGTCAGGGAACGATGGCATCACATAAACTATGAACATTTGGGAATAAATAAATTAAATAATTCATTGCAGCTTAAAGTGATTCTCATTCAGTCATAAAGCAGGAAACATGGCAGGTATCTGTTAAAACATCAGCCTCCTCTCATCCGACAGAGGGTGAACTCTGAACGCAGGGAGGATATGGCAGGCCGTTTTGACATTTATTCAAAAACAATCTCCCCACTATGGTTAAAACTACATTCCTACTAATAAGAACTGTAAACATAGAAATCCTAAAGTAGACCATTAGAAGCAGAAACTGCATTTCAAGGCATAAAGCATTTAACTTTAAGAATAGTTTCAGATAGCCAAAAATTTTTATACATTCATTAGCTTGATATTAATGATATCTGAACTAAATTTCTTCCAAGTGAAAATGGTCATTTCTGATATCTTAAATGTAAATCTTATAGTAGAAATGATGTCAAGTTGATGTTTGTTGGCTTTTACTTCCAGATATCTAAAATAAACATCCTATATGCTGATGAGGATTGACTCTAATTTCAGATCTCTATAATCCAGTTAATCCCACTTATAATGAACATTTTTATAAATAAAACATTCTAGATATCCAGACATCAACAAGTCAAACGGACATCAAATAGTTCTACTAGTAGAAATGTCCTTACAGATATAGCTAATAATTATATAATGTGTAAAGAGGAATATCACATACCTAAAATTTTATTTGCTAAAATGCAGTTTTAGTTTAGTTTTAGATCAACAGAATGAGTACAAGGAATCCTGTACTTTGCTCGGTTGAACACCTTAGTGTGATCTAGAATAGAAATTTAACTAGTCAGCCTTTTTAATCTTAAAATGAAGTCCAACCTTCCCTCCACCCAAAAAGCAATTTTGAAACAATCTTCAACTGATAAAGCATTAATCAATATTTAATTGTAAGATGATGATTTACATCTTTAAAGCCAACCTTTGACCTGCCATTAAAATGAGTGGCATCCGTAAACAAGCTATAAATAAACCAATATAAACCAAAGCGAATGAGGCTGAAACATGACTATTAAACACGAGGAGCAGCAACCGTGATGCTTTTAGATCCCAGTGATTAAACGGAATCACATTTAGCCACTATTTTAAAGTAAAAGAAAGGGGGCGCTAGAGCGTCACCTCTGACTAACAACAGAGCATCATGTCGCCACCGAAAAAAGCCATAAACGCCGACAAAAATAAGACCATGGACGGATACATCGGCAGGGCTAAGGCTAACGGGGCTAATGCTAACAGCACCCTCGCCAGCGGAACTGAGAACGAAACTGAGGACTGAGCTTCGGGCGACAGAACCCAGATGCCGGCAATGTGCCAGGAAATCTGTACAGATATGTCAGCCTCAATTCTGGAGATACTTGATGAGCCTTTCGACTCCCTTGAAGTCAGGCTCCAGTCTGTCTTGGCTGTGCAGACTGGCTTCCAGAACCGCATGTTTGGCCCAGAATCTGCAATCAACGCACATGAGGAGGATCTGGGGGAACTTGAAATGAAATGTACGGAGCTCGCAAAGCTTGTTACTCAGCAGCAAACTAAGTTGCTGGACTTGGAGGCTCGTTCCAAAAGGCACAACATTAAAATCGGTGTAAAAGAAAACTCAGAAGAAGGGAGACGAACTGAGTTTGTCTCTAAGCTCATTCCTGAATTACTGTGCTAACAACATTTCCCGTACCCACTGAAGGTCGACTGCTCACATCGTTCCCTGTGGCTCAAGCCGGCGACGGGTGAGAAACCGCGTACCATCATCGCCCGAACACAACACTTTCAGACGAAAGTGCAAATTCTACACCTGGCCAGGGCGCAGTCGTTGGAATATAAGGGGAACAAAGTTCTGATTTTTCCTGACTACACCAGTGTCATGTTCTATTTGGAGGGCACAACATCCCACAAGTAGAGAGTACTCATTTTACTCACTTGTGCATAAATCCTATAGGAGGATTTATTATTTTATAATACCGTATTTTCACGACCATAAGGCGAACCGTACTAAACGGCGCAGTCTCAGTTATGTGTGCCATTATTATATTTAACACACACATAAGGCGCACCGGATTATAGGGTGCGGGTTGTATATACCAGTACATATCCTCTACTATGTTTAAATACCTCTACTGCGTATTTAAAAATAGAGCTGGAGCAAAACTTAGTATGTTTGTGCTTTATTCATGCGTGGCAGCCAAGCACAACAGTAAACGACACCTTTTCATACCTCGTTGTGTATATCGCTACTGTGCTGGTCCCCTTCTTCTCCACCATGTGATTCACCGGGATGTCGAAAGTGAGCGGCACCTCGTCCATGTTGGTGATGTGGCTTGGCTGGATGCGTTTGTATCTGCGTAGCTGATAGCCTTCAGTTTAAACTGTGCTTTATAGGCGTGTCTCTTTGCCATTTTCAGGGTTGTTAAGACAACAATGTTCTGCATAAGGCACATACCTGTTCTTTTATACACAATCCACGCCCACACTTCCCCCTTTTAACGTTCTCATGGTGGTCTCAACAACGTACACAGTAACACATAGGGCGCACCGCACTATAGGGTGCGCCACACATTTTAAGGAAAAAAAAAGACGTTTATATGCGCCTTATAGTCGTTGACTCTAAATACCATAATATACTGATTTCTGATCATCATTTTGGTCTTGTCCTTCTTTAACGGGTCTCTGATCTAAAGTGTTTGATTGGTATTCCAAGGCATACAAGACTCTCATACAACCTGAACCAGGACTTAGAATTTTCGGATGCCCTCGGGTACAGGGGACTATACCTGCTGCAATGCGGCAACCATTAGAACTGGGATTGATTGTTGCCAAGAGACTATTCCTGAGGAGCTGGAGGTCATCTGCTCCCCCTTCATTTCGCCTTTGGGTGACGGACATGATGTCTATGATTCAGATGGAAAGATTTCGTAAAGGATCTAATAAAACTTTTTCATTATACTGGAATCCCTTCCTGAAACACTTTTCACAGCCTACACTAAGCTGAACAAACTTTTCCATGGACTCTCCCCTCGGTCGCCACTTAATGGGTGTATATATTCTCATATATATGACCATGTGTACATTTGTTATGCGTGTACACCAATTGTTGACTGGAATATTTTATGCATGACACGTGCATCTGGATTCTGTTCTGTTTGTTTATCTGTATGTTCTGAACCTTGAAAACTTTAAATAAAATTTATTTTAAAAAAAGGAACAGAAAGAGCAGGAAGGGATGTAAACTGTGAATATTCCTGTTTTGGACTGCAAATCAACATCAGTCTGACCAGCAGACTGAACCTGAACCAGTCAGCAATCAGGTGGACCAACTGGAGACTGGCAGTGATGGAGTGACAGCAGACTGTAGGAGGAGTTAATGGCTGCTAAGCTACAGATAGCACCCTGATGCATTGTGGCAATAAATGGTGATTTAAATCACGTCTCACTCTAATAAACTGCCAACAGCTGCTGAACCAGAGGAAAGTAAACTTTGGACTTCTTTAATGCAACAAGGAATCCTACGTCTCTGAAGGAAGACCTCCTCCTGGGAAATCAGGTCACAGTCTTGTTTCTCTGCTGAGATTATAATCCACTTTATAAGACAAAACCTGCATTAAAACATCTATTAGGGATTGTCCCAGGAAGCTGAAGAAGGCTACAGACTGGGATGCTCTGTGTCAGCCGCATGGAGAGGACACCAATGCAATGACTGAGTGTCTGACTGACTACATCAACTCCTGTGTAGATAACACCATCCCTACCAGGACAGGGAAATGCTTCCCAGATAATAAACCATGGATCACAGGTGCATCAATGATGTGCTGTTATAATATGGTAAATCCATGATGAACATTATAACTGTGTTTTCTCAAGTGAGAGAACTGCACAGCACTCCAACTATCCTGGAGGAACATTGAAGCAAACAGGGAATCATTTTTCATTGAAATCTTGAGGCAGATAATGTGACTCAATGAATTTTATAAATCAATGAACTTCAGTTATTCAAATATTTTTCAGCACTACTATGAGGATCATGGTCTTTGATTTCTCCGCATTCAGCCTGACTGACTTTGAGAGAAACTCCAGCAGACTCAGGTGGAGGCATCAACAATCCCCTGGGTCAAAGACTACCTGACAAACAGACCACAGGTTGTTAGACTGAAGGCTCAGCTGTCTGATCCAGCAGCACAGGAGCACCACAGGGGACGGTACTCTCTCCATTCCTTTTTCCTCTGTTCACCTCTTACTTCCAGGACCAGACAGAGTCCTGTCATCTGCAGAAATACTGGGATGACTCTGCAGTCATTGGAACATGGTGGCATGGCATGGTTTGGAAACAATCATCTGATCCTGAAGGTCTACAAAACAAGGAGATGATTGGAGATTTCAGAAGAAACAGGAATAAGTTAAATCCTATTAACATCCTGGGAGAAGTGGTGGTGGTGGAGGAGTAGAAATCCTTTGGTGTTCACCTGGACAACAAACTGGACTGGAGACACAACTGGGAAGCCGCCTGCAAGAAGGGACAGACCAGACTGGACTTCTAGAGGACGCCAAGTTCCTTCAGATGCTGCCGATCTTCTAACAGTCTGCTGTGGAGAGTCTGATCTCTTCCTCCATCATCATCATCGCTAATGACTGAAAGAAGCTCAACCAGCTGATAAAGAAGGCCGGCTCACTTCCAGGAACTCCTCTAGAACCTCTGGAGATGAATACGATGATGGACAGCAGTGAACATCCTCTTCATCAGACTGTGTCTCGGGTCAGACGCTGATCCAGATGTGCTGTAGACAGACCTCTACAGGAGGTTTTTCCTGCCAGCAGCATCAACATCTAGTTGGAGAGTTGAATAAAGTATTCTTTTGCCTTTGAAGCTGCTGTAATTAGGAGCTTTGATGTCTCACCAAGCGTCATCCAATCAGAGCACATTGTTAAATAGAATATGACCAAAACCTCTGCAATTTAAAAACAACGTTTTGTTTAATATCAATAAGATTGCAAATGCAATTATATGTCCATCCCTTCCATGTAGGAACGTTTAATAGGACTTTTCCCTGTTTCAGAGGGACACTTATTGCAACAACTCAGGAGTATGGTGGTGATGAGGGTCCAGAGAAGCTGGATGTTCAGACTAAAGATGAGAACATTTGGTCTGCAGTGAACCGTTAGCTCAGATTACAGATTTTTTCATGGTGTATTGGAGACACCTGACCTCACACCCCACAGAGATGATGTTACACCAGAGGAACAAGGTTCAGTTCTGGTCATCAGCTGGACCAGCCATCCTCACCTTTGAGCAGGGGCAGCGGCGTGAGCTCGATGGGTTTCCCTTGAGAGCGAAACTGGGAGGAGCTCTGGGACCTCTTCTGCTTGGCCTTCCTCACAGACTTCCGGGAAAATCCGTCCACTTTGTCCACAGATGGAGACGAGGTGGGTGCAGAGGACATGGCCCTGTTGGGAGGAACACATGGAGGTTAGAAGGTCTGCATGATCTGCACTTCAATCAGCCATAGAGAAAACTTTACTGCACATCTAATCAGGATCTAGTTTATTGAGCTGACAAGGAATTAATGGCAGGAAATTACAGTTTGAAGGCTCCAGTCTACTGGTGGACAATGGTCCCAGTCCAAACCTCCAGCCTGGAGTGGCTGATGATTGGATAATAAATACCCTTCCTCTCTCCTAAAGGTTGGCTGATGCCCAACACGTCGCAAAAGTAGGCACCATGCCCCGATGACATCAATATAGCATGCACGCTCGGCAACAGTGAAGGGTCCAGCAACACCAACGAGTCGAGCTCTTACAGCCCAAACCCGTTGCTGCGCGTTTCCAGAAACACAGGCGATACAGGAGCAGTTTGGAGTGGACTAACGCACTGTGTTTATAAGATCGTCTGTCAATGCAGTGCATCGGCCTTAATTGGACCGATGCTATCGTCAGTTTAGCATCACTATCTCGTCAGTTTACCGTCAGTATCTCATCAGTATTTCGTCTGTTCCTCATCAGTTTACCGTAGGTTTCTCGTCAGTTCCTCTGCAGTATACCGTCAGTAACTCGTCAGTATTTCGTCTGTTCCTCATCAGTTCACCGTAGGTTTTTCGTCAGTATCTCGTCAGTTCTTCTGCAGTTCACCATCAGTATCTCGTCAGTTTCTTGTCAGATTACCGTCAGTATCTCGTCAGTTCACCGTCAGTATCACGTCAGTTTATCATCAGTATCTCGTGGGTTCACTGTCAGTTTATCGTCAGTATCTCGTCAGTTTATCGTCAGTATCTTGTGGGTTCACCGTCAGTATCTCGTCAGTTTATCGTCAGTTTATCTTCAGTTCACCGTCAGTATCTCATGGGTTCACCGTCAGTATATCGTCAGTTTATCGTCAGTATCTCGTCAGTTTATCGTCAGTATCTCATCAGTTTATCGTCAGTATCTCGTGGGTTCACCGTCAGTATCTCGTCAGTTTATCGTCAGTATCTCGTGGGTTCACCGTCAGTATCTCGTCAGTTTATCGTCAGTATCTCGTGGGTTCACCGTCAGTATCTCGTCAGTTTATCGTCAGTATCTCGTGGGTTCACCGTCAGTATCTCGTCAGTATCTCGTGGGTTCACCGTCAGTATCTTGTGAGTTCACCTTCAGTATCTCGTCAGTTTATCGTCAGTATCTCGTGGGTTCACCGTCAATATTTCGTCAGTGTACCGTCAGTATCTCGTCAGTTTACCGTCAGTATCTCGTCAGTTTACCTTCAGTATCTCGTCAGTTCATTGTGGGATCGATATGGAACAGCCTGAAGGCAGAAAGCTTTCAGCTGTGGGACCATTTCCATCTCATATAGTTTAAATGTTCTCGTTCCTCTCAGTTATAACTCAGATTATCTGAACTCTAATTGAATCTTAGTTTGCTCTTCTTACTCCAGTTATTATTTTATATCAATAAATAAATCCACAAACATCCTTATTCACATGTTCCCTTAAATGTTCCCGTTATATCTTCACATTTAAGGATTGCATATAAAAATATCAAGCGTATGCCGCCCCAGAAGCCCTCGCCGCCCCAGCTGGGATAAACATGACGGGGAAAAAATTATATCTTTAAGGTCAATTTATTGCACAGAGCGTTATGTTACATTAAAAGGTCATGTAGATTTATTAAAGTTGTAATTTGCCAAATTAAAAGAGAAAAGGGACGTGACTGAAGCTGAGCTGTGGTCCAAACGTTTAAAGTGGCGCATGCTCCTCTGGTGTTCAGTTCAAGCCCTGGGTGCCATGAACCAGAGCATAAAATGCTGTTTCTGATTCCATTCAGTGAAGCTTGTGGTGCTGGAAGAAACTCCTGAAGTACGTTGGGATCCAGTGTAGAAGAATTCCTAATCTTTATTGAACCTGAATCAGAATGCATCTATCAGCCTGCCTGTCTGCAACAGAGACACTAGAGCCCAGAAGCAAAGGTTGAACCAACAGTCAGCAGAATCAGATTTTTCATGCCAGGAAGAATCCATTTCAGTGATGATCCAGATCATCACTTGGATACAGGAATATATTACACTGACAGACAGAGCAAACCCTGAACACACTGAATCACATTTTGAGTCCAATCCAACAGAAAAACGTCCCTCAGAGGTTGTGGTGTTTAGAGCTGATTGAAAGTCAATGGGGATAATGTCCTGCAGGGGGCAGCGTAGAACCAACTCAGATAGAGCCCAGGTCTATTTTAGTAGAAGCGATACAGCAATTCAGCAGCAACGAATGTGTCTGACAGGAAGAGAGACGTGGATACAAAGTAAAACATATTCGCTTTGGAGGAAAATGAAAATACTAAATAAAATCTGTTAATGGGAGAGGAAACAGGGATGGAGTCAGGCAGCGGGAATAAAGGAGCTTAGAAGGACAGAAAAATTAAAAGTCTGGCTATCCTCCCCGCAGAAGTGTATCGCATTGAGCTTGACGCAGATATTTTTGATTTATGCCCCATATCGAAGCATGGTCTGAGCCATGTTATTCCACACAACAACACAAGAGGGGGCGGGGACATCTTTTTGTTCACTGCGACACACTTGCAGACAACCTAGTTTCGAAGTATAAATCGACCTCAAAGCAGTGATCCTCTATGAGCCTCACAGATAATAAACACTCCCCAGATCTCTGCCTAGGCTGGCATAGGCAGAGATCGTCCCTCCCTTTATTGTAGCCTTCTCTTTAAACATAGTTACCATAATGTTTCTAATATAAGCCTATTAAAATCCTCTATCTGTTCTGGTTTAGATTCCGTGCAGAACAAAGGAGGAGGCATATAGGTGCTGCCAGGCAGGAACAGAGCAGTGGCATGTAGCGCCTAAATGGACGAAGCGCTGTGATTGGACGGTTGCTATTTACAATCAGTTCCAGTAGCTATTAACATTAAAAGCACGGTTATTGACCATTCAGTGCAATAACTGTGTCCGCATCAGATCAGAACCCACCAGCACTAGAACAGAAATGATTGGGACGATGATTGACATGAAAATTATTATTATTAAATTAATAGAAATGAATCACATGAGTTTGTTAATGATTGAAAATGGAGATTTTGCTGTTAGCGCCCCCAGCTCAGATGAAAAGTTAGGCGTTCTGCTGACGACAAAATCAGAAGAAAAGAAGGCGATGGAGCCTCCATCTGCTTGGAGGGCAGGGCAAATGGAGGAGAGAGCAGAACAGACACCAGAGGCTGCAGACACACACCGGGCCTCCATGTAGAAACTTACTGGCTGCTTTTACTAAGACGATTACTGGAAAAGTTATGAATGGATTCTAAGGATCCTCATACTCGTGCAATGGTCAATAAAATCTGGTGATGATGCTGACCAGGCGGCGCTTTGCACTGAGCTTTTCCTAGCTATAAAACTAGATCTGCATCATGTGTTCTTTAGACTTTGCCTCTAGTCTGAGTCTAATCGGAAAAGCAGCAGGTATACACAATATTCACATTTACTAAAGAGAACAGCTTCTAGAACCCCCCCCCCCCCACACACACACACACACGCACAGTTAATACCTGCTCTGTTATTACAGCTAGAGATGAAACCTGGATGATAACTAATGAACTTTAGTCAATGTAACATTATGCATCGATAACATTTCTACAGCTCAACTCTGCAGTTTGGTGAAAAAGGAGGAATGTCTTCTAAAGACAAGCAGCTATCATTTCTGCTTTGCTTTTAGCGTCCATGTTTCTCCTTTTGATGACGTTTTGGGATAGAAGACGAAAACTGGGCACTTTCAGAAACACAGTAGCCTGACTACAGCAGCCTGCAAGGGACAATCTTCAGTGATCTAAAGCACCTTTATCCAAAGTCAGCATCAGAACCACCTAAACTGGTGGCTGGGTGAAGTCCAGTTCAATTCAATTCAGGTTATTTCTATTGGGCCAATTCACAACACGTCATCTCAAGGCAGTTCACCAGATCATCCAGTAAGATATATTCAAAGTTTTCTATCTAAGGAAAACGAGCCGATTGCATTGACTCATTGACTCTTCAGCAGTCCCTCACACTAAGCATGCTTGTAGCGACAGTGGAGAGGAAAACTCCCTTTGAACAGGAAAAAACCTCCAGCAGAACCAGGGTCAGAGTGAGCAGCCATCTGCCGAGGTCGACTGGGGTTTAAGGAGACAGAAGCAGACATAGAAAAGGCAACTTTAAAAGGCGGCCCGGTCCAGGAAACACACAGTCAGATAGACGAGCTCCAAGCCAGCTCCCATGTCAGAGGATGAAGAGAGCACATCCAGTCAGTCACAGTCAGAGAAACAGGACTACACTGGAAAACAGGCCAAGCTCCAACATCTAGAAACAAAGGTGTTGATGGCAGCAGCACAGCTGATATTTCTCTCCAGGATGGAGTCCCAGCCAAACAGGAACAGACCAGATGAAGCTACTATGAGAAAAAGCAGAGTGAGCAGAACGTTAGAGATTGAACTAACAGATTCTGCAGAGTGGGAGAATAGAGATAGAATGAAGCAGAATGATGAAAAAGGGGTCCCTATGTCCTCCAGCAGTCTAAGCCTATAGCAGCATAACTATAGAGATAGCTCAGGATAACCTGAGCCACTCTAACTATAAGCTTTATCAAATCTCTTTTTCATTTTCATCAGAACTCTGGCTGCAGCATTTTGGATCAGCTGAAGGCTTTTAACTACAGTTTGTGGACTTCCTGATAGTAAAGAATTACAATAGTCCAGCCTTGAAGTAACAAATGCATGGACTAGTTTCTCAGCATCACCCCTGGACAGGAGATTTCTAGTTTTTGCAATATTCCGCGGACGAAAGAAGACAATTCTAGAAACCTCTTTGATATGGGATTTAAATGACAGGTCCTGATCAAAAATAACACCAAGATTTTTTACTTAATTATCTGAAATCAGTTTAATCCCATCCAGATGAAGTGACTGGCTAATCAGCTTCTTTTCCAAAAACTATAACTTCTGTTTTGTCTGCATTCAGAAGGAGAAAGTTAAGAATCATCCAGATTTTATGTCTTCATTTTAGGTCTTCATAGATTACATGCCTGTAATCTATGTAATGGGTTAGCTTCATCTGGATTATAGACAGATATAGCTGGGTATCATCAGCATAACAGTGGAAATTAATCCCATGCTGTCTAACAACTCTACCGATCGGGAGCATATATATAGTAAAGAGAATTGGTCCTAGCACTGATCCCTGTGGTACTCCACAGGTAACCTTTGAGCATGAGGGGCTAAGGGTTCTCCTAGATCTACGCTACAATGCTGCCCTGCTGCTGATTAGCAACATCTGAGAACTTCTAAGATCCATCAGTAAAATGAAGCTAAACCTGCTGCTGGTTCCGTCTTTGACAGTGAGACCCACATGGTTCTGATCTCATCCCAGCAGCTGGGGTTTGGCTCCCTGAAAGAACTGGACTAAAGCTCTGAAGGGAAAGGAAGACCTGACCCGACCACGTACGGGTCAGAAGGTCAGCAATCAGAACCCACAGAGTTCCTCCTTCAGATGATCAGGAACGGGTCCATTAGTCATACAGAGACCCGGCTGGAGGACAGTGGGGCTTTGGGTCAGAACCAGAATATAAAGGAAAGTGGGAAATGAACATGAAACGGTTCAGCACAGGGTCTAAAGTCCATCTATAAACGACGGCGGAACAAAGTCCAGAACTGATTAATAGAAACGTTACATCAGATATTCTATTGGGCCTGGCCCGGACCAGTCAGTCACAGGCTCTGGGCATCAGACCTCAGAAGGAAGTTCTGCCCTGCAACTAAAACCACCATCATCCTTCTCAAACAGCAGAACCGAAGCGACCCGGTAAAAAGGCACAGAAACAGAACCCACAGAACCAAGCAGATGGTTCTGGAGCATAGAGCTACTCAGAGGTCCAAACAGAACATCTGGAGAACCTGCTAGGCTCACAGAGATGCTCCAGGATCATATCTGGGTCTGTTTTCCTCAGCCCAGGAACCAGGTTCTGTTCATTCAGGTACAAAATAAAAAAAATGTTCAGCAGTGATTACTTCAATGTTTTACAGAAATGTGGGAAAACTTAAGTTTCAAGTGGACGTGCTGATCAGTTAGCGGTTTTAGTCTGTGTTTGTGAGCAGAGCAGCTCTACCTTCACTCCTACCAGCTGTTTCCCCTCCAGGTTATTAATCATTAATGATCCAAAACGTTCAATTTCTTCAGCTCTATTTAAACATCCTTTCATTTCTCATCCCGATCAAGTTTATTTTTTAAAATCAGACTCCCCTCCCACGTCCATGAGAACCTGTTCTGGAGGTTCGGCCTGATTTCAGAACCACTTTGAACCTTTGAACAGGAAGCCTCCACAGACCTGAGAGCAAAGATCCAGCAGAACAGCAAAGGACGGACTGGGATCTGGATCAGGACGGCAGCCCGAGGGCCGCCAGCTGGGACCTGCTGGGCCGGGCAGACCCTGGCAGCGCGTTAGCCTGCCGTTAGCATGGTTAGCTCCCAGATTAGCCACGGAGGGCATCGAGGGCTGGAAGCCGAATCTTCAGACGGCAGAAATACATTTAGACCCCAGACACCTTCAGCTTCTGCAGGATGTTCACCAAAGTCTGCAAATTAACGCCTTTCAGGTCAGAAGCTAGCCTTAGCCTAACAGCTAGGCTAACAGAGCGAGTAGCCGGATGCTAACAGCTACTAGAGAAGCTAGCTTGGTCTGCAGAGGGAACCGCATCTGGATCAACAGAATGAAACCGCATCTGGACCACATCTGGGTGGAGTGGGTGTCGGTGGGGTAACGTTACCTGGGTGGGCTGGGGCGATCACCCATCATCCCGGATGTAAATACAGGGCTAACGTTAGCCTCGGTTCACCCAGACAGAGACACACACCGATCCGAGTCGTGAACCTGGAGCCTCTTCCTGATCCCCCTCAGTCCCCTGATCCCCCTGCGGCTGAGACCCGTCCTCTGGCGGGTTAACTGTCAGGCTAGCGCGGCCGCCTCCAGCTCGGTGAAAGCAGCCTCTCCCAGCGGCAGAGCTCGGCCTAAAGCAGCCAAACCCGCAGACAGCTTCCCATCCGAAGGGAAAAGCTTCAACTCCCGTTAGCGGGGCTCAGCGTAACGGTGAGGAGCCCCGGAACCGGCGGACCTGCAGCCTGGATCAGCTCTGGTTCTGGGATCAGGGCTGGTTCTTCTCAGCCTATTGTCAACACAGCTCGGTCCGGACCATGGCACACATTACATAAAAGCACAGAAACATGCTAGACGGGAGCAGGTCCGCGGACGACGCTGATTGGCTGCACCTCGCAGTGTCGGGCTTTCTGATTGGTCCAGTCAGCTTTCCGGTAAGGCCAAAGGGAAAGAGGCTTTGAGTCCCGCTGGTTCGGTGGAGGGGAAGGGAAGGTGTTCGGGATGGTTCCCCTTCGGTCCTGCAGGAGTTTTCCTCAAACAGACCATAATAATCACAGGAAACTTTAGCTCTGTTCTGTTGGAACTCAGATGGCTTTCTTGCTAACTTTCATTGTAGTAAGTTATTAATTACTCATAACATTATACATGTTTTTCACATATCCTCTTTATTGAACACCACCCATGAAAAGGAGAAAAGCAATTTTAAAATGCAGAAAAACAATGGAAGATCCAAATTAGATAAAGGAGGGGCCCCTTTCACAAATTTGTTTTCCCATAAATCCCAAGTTTCTTCTAATTTAGTTTTCTGTAGTTTCATGGATAACGTATTTCTTTCCATTACAAAAATATTGTTAATAATATTCTACCAGTTGTTGAGGGTTGGGCTGCCAGTAGGTAGGCCCGTTTAAGCCTTACAGCTAATGACAGCTACCTTACAGCCAGGAACCAGGCTGCCATACTCTGGCCCCAGCAGGCCCTCTAACCACCATCAGGAGCCAATACAGGTCAAGTGTCTAACCCAAGGCTACTGATGTCTATTTATTAACTGGTTTGCTGATTTCCCGTAAAAAGTTAAGCCACCGTCCACTAGGGGTGTAAATAATAATCGTTTTGTATCAATCCATCAATTCAAAAGCCGACGATCCGATGCATCGACACGTCCGCAAGAGCATCGATTCATGATTATTTTTTTTTTCTTCCTCTGGTCTATTTTTATCCATTTGCTCCTGGGCGTAAGTCTTACTCCCGTGCTGGGGTGGCGCTAAACCTAATTTGTCCTTCTACCTCGCTTCCTGGTTATACTCTTACAGCAGTGAGTTGCAGTAAGCTTGACACAGACATTTTTGATTTTATTGTAGCGTGGTCTGCGCTATATGCTGTGAGTCTAGATACGGCTGAGGTGATAAGGAAGTGGGGGCGAGTTTGTCCGACAACAGAGTGACATGGCGGTGAAAAAGAGTGGAGATCCAGGTGAAAAAAAGGGTAACAGCGTTCTCGTGCACCTTGATCTTCTAGCTTTTCCAACTTCACGAGTTGTTTTCCGCTATTTCGGTCATAAAACAAAATAAGCCAGCCTCCTGTCTGCGGCACTGTCTGCGGTCAGCCACAATTTGGGAGAGGTGCAGCGGAGACTCTGCGGAGGGGGCGGGGACATTGGCACTCTGGAGCCGAGGTATCACATTGCACTCATTGCACTGATTTTGTACAGTATTTTTAGTAGTTTTCGTGAATGAAACAAGACTAAATAAATACGTTAGCGAGTGATCTGTCAGACGCTTAAAATGCATCATCGTACTGCAATTTGTTAGACTAGCTAATCAGCTGTGCTGCTGCATCCTGTTTGGTGATGCCCATCTGGCCAAAGATGGACCATGGGAGTAGCGGAAGGGGTAAAAGTAGGCTGGAATAACCCTGTTCTGCCGCTGAACTCTAACTAATTCTGATCTTTCAGATGTGCTTGTGCAGAAATGTGTCTTTGTGCGGCTTAGCTCAGAGTCTGCGGTTTACGCTTCACTCTGATGGTTCGCTCTCAGTAGTATGGCTCTTTCTGCTCTCGCTCCTTAATAAACTATATGTGGCTGATCATCTTCTGCTAAGCCTAAAAAATCCTTTTGTCTAACTATTAAGATTTTATTTCTTCCAGCTCTGAGTCTGTTCAATCTGTTCTCTTCCAGGAAGAGGTGATGCAAAGCCATCTTTACTTTCTACCAAAAGCAATCCCTAAATCATATCCAAATCAGACCGTTGCATACTGTATATTTTTGGATAAAGATCTAGATCCTTTTTTTGAGTAATACAGAAATTATGGATCTGTGTGTAATACATAATACATAGTGGCTTAGGAAGTGTTTGCTTTGGGATGGAAACCTTGTATGTCTAAAACCATTCCTTTATTGGACCTTTTGTTAGCTTCTCTGTTTGCTATATTAACTGATTTGATGTGTTGAACTAGATCTGCTATTTTCACAGCTTTTGTGAGACACTTTTGAATAAAGTAGAACATTCATGCATAAAGTCTTTTCAAATTCTATAAATCCAAGCCCAACAGTGGGCACGGCAGCATTTTATCTTCAGAAATGTTATGATCTAGGCTAGACCTAGCACTCTGGTAAATAATCTGGTTATTATTTGAAATGATAAAGGTTTACTGTTTTTTGAAGTGAAACATAAAACTGACTGGAAGCCGACTAAAGCTATCACATCATAATGCCTAAAATGTCATTAAAACTAATAATATTTGTCGTCCTGAAGATGAAAACTAAGACCCTCTAAATATAAGATGCCTTTCAGAAACAGCAATGGCTGCAACCTGACTGTAGCTCCAGATAAAGTGCCTGTAAAAGTTGGCCAACTCAAGAAATCTTTGTTGTTTTCTATCAGTGCGTGCGGGCCAACCAGAGCTGTCGGATGGAGCCATTGTGCGCAGCTCCAAGCTGACAACAAAAGTTCCCACAGCTCTGAAACTGTTATAGCTAGAGATCTGAAATTTTTTTGCATTTGTGGTTGACATGATGTAGAACAAATACAATACAATAAAACCTGCTTTTTCTCAAGAATGTCTTTATTACTGCTGTTCAAAAAAGACCTATCATTTCCGAGAATAAAAAAACAACTGAGTCATGTTTGAACTGATGCAGGTAGGTCTGTGTTCTAGTCACCAGATTTTTATTTGTTGTTACCTTTCAAATAATGTATTAAACATGTAATTTGGGCTTACAGTTCCTAAGTTATTTGCTTTTCCATTTGGGTATGCAAAATAGGCAAGGACTACCCAAAATTAAAAGATTAACCTTTGCAGGATCCATTGTATCCATCTGTTTTGGGGAAATAATAAAAACAAAGGAATGAAGCGGTGGAAACATGGACATCCAGCTGGTTCTGAAGAAACCTGAGCAGGACCAATCTGAGACGCTGCTCATGTGACTTTGAGTCTTCACAATAATGTCGTCCATATAAACCAACATATTGTCCTCCTATTTCTCTTAGAACGTCATTGACTAAACCTTGAAAAACAACCACGGCGTTGGGGAGTCTGAAAGGCCTGACCAGATACTCTCTGTCCAGTAGGTTTAAGGAAGCTTTCCATTCAGCTCCTTCTCTGATGCCAACCACATGGTACGCGTTGTGGAGGTCAAGTTTTGTGAAGATGTTTTCGCCCTGGATCTGATCAAAAGCAGAGTTAATAAGAGGCATTATGTTATTATTATGAGTGAAGTCATTTAGTCCTCTGTAATCGTTGCATGGGTAAGGAGAGCCATCCCTCTTGCTAACGAAGAAGAAACTGGCTCCAACAGTAGAAGAAGGACGAATAATACCAATGAATCATCAGTATAGGTCTTCATGTCCGGAGTTTCTGGTAATGAGAGAGAGTAGTCTGCCCTTGGGGGGTGCGGTGCCAGGAAGAACATCTATTGGACAGTCCAAAGGACGACGAGGATGTAGAGTAGGGGTGCCCAACCAGTCGATCGCAGTCTACCAGTCGATCGTGGGCGGAGTTTCAGTCGATCGCGAGAAGTTTTACAATGTAGACCTATTTATAGCTATGACAAAAAAACGTTTTAAAAAACACTAATAGAAACATTGATCACGAGAGGCGAAAGTGTATTTTCATAATAATAAAATTAAAAATAAAAAGTATGCAGGGAACCTTTTTTTATGCATGCTGATTGCTGGGCATGGTTTGCCACGGTTGCTAGGTTGTTACCAGGGACCTAAAGCGCGAAGAGGAATCTGAAAAGATAATGAGATAATGACATCTATCACAATTGAAGGGGATCCATCTATGGTTGGGCGCACTGCTGGATTCGTTGCTCTGTTCAAGCTGTCTGAAACTTTCCCGGATTTTTGAAACTACGGCTGCATCATTCATCAACAACAGCTGTGCCGCAATATTTTAAATATGAAACATATCATGGACGTTGCAATGAAGATTGCTTCCTCTGTTGGGGCCAGGAGTTTTTAGAGGCGTTTATTCCGTGCCCAGCTCCAGAAAGCAGGTGCAGACCTTACTGATCTGCTGCTGCACACCGACGTCAGGTGTCTGAGCCTTGGCAGATTCTTCGAAAGATTTTTGGAACTTTTGCCCGAAATTAAAAAGTTTCTGAAACAGTCAACAACCCATTCTGCTGTATGTTACATTTTCACATCCACATATTTTGTACTCAGTATTTTCCTATTTGTATCGGTTTTCCTGTTGAATTTTAATCCATCTGCCAGTTTCTCTGCCAATGCCAATGACAGGAGGCCGACTGTTCGCATTGCCAATGCGAACAGTCTCAACACTATAAAACCTGTAAATTTACAGTTGTAACGCTTTTTTTTTCATCTCTACTGGACTGTGTTTGTGTATCAATTGGTTTATTTAGATTTTTTGACTGCACAGCCTTTGTCTGGAGATCTTGACTGCTCTTTTCTATAGTTTTTAGTGTCTGATGAGTGAGTGAGGGTGAGAAAGAGAAATGGTGTGAAGTTCTTATGAGATTGTTCTGTTTTTGCAACCTATTTTTTGACACAACTGATAATTTCCTTGTTTGTTGGACTAACTGTTTATTCTCCACCTCTGCAAATAAAAAAACAAATACTGCCCATCCCTTGTGTTTGGCTTGTTAGATCTCGGCATGCCATCAACTTCAAAAGTAGATCTTGGTTTAAAAAAGGTTGGGCACCCCTGATGTAGGTGATGGCTTTGGTTTAATTAAACTTCTCTCTCAGATCATGGTACTCGGGTTGAACTTCAGACAGAATCGGGAAAATCTCTTCATCCTTCTGAGGAGCAGATAAACAGTTCTCTGAGCATGTGGGAGCCCAACCCACGACTTCTACCTTCTGCCAGTCAATCTAAGGGTTATGTCATGTAATTCCAATAGAACGTGTTCATAGATCAGTGCTTCTATGTCCATTTTCTATGTCTGCTTCTGTCTCCTTGAACCCCAGTCGGCCTTAGCAGACGGCCGCTCACACTGAGCCTGGTTCTGCTGGAGGAGCAGGGAGTTTTCCTCTCTACTGTCGCTGCATGCTTGACGTGAGGGATGCAAAATGAAGGTGAATCTGCTGTCTCCACTTTCCTTCAATGACTGGAACCAATCAGCTGGTTTTCCTTGGAAAACATTGATCCAATCTGACTGGATGATCTGGTTGATCTCGATCTATAAAGTGCCTTGAAATGACGTGTGTTGTGATGCTATATAAGTAAGCAGAATAGATTTTTTATCTCTGCCTTATGCCATCATCTTGGATCAGTCAAAATTAAACAAACTAGAAGGCATAAAGTTAGTAAAACATTTTTTTTATTGTTTTGATGATCAATCATCTAAGAGTTTTCAAAATGAACATATAATCACCCAAACACCTTTTAATGACAGGAATGTTTCATTGATTTTAACAAGTGAACAAAGCAGAATAGATCAGACATCCTAATTTAAAGGAAGCATCTGATCTTATGATCTATATGAGCTACTGGAACCAAAACTTCCCTGAAGGAGTAATCCAAGAGATAAATAAAGTTTATTTAAAGTCTAATCAGTGGAAGATTTCTGAAATACCACAGACTGAGACCTGATGATTGATGAACCCCCTTGGTGGCCACAGTGGTTCTGAAAGGACACTATAGAAAATCACTTTAAAGTTAATCATCATAAATTCATATTACTTTTGTCAGAAGTAATTAAACCAACTTTCTAAGATATGTATCCTGAGGAAACAATCCGAAGCTTGGATTGTTGCTGTGGTTACATAGCACCGCTTCAGTCAGCTATGTCTATACGCTCTATTTGCATAGCTCCTAGTGGCAGATAGAAACATCAGGAGGTCCCTGAGCTAAAGGATCTACGGTAAGTAGCTTCCTGCTTCCTCTTTTCCCTCCTTGCTCGCTGCCAGCATTGACCATAGAGACCAACTGAAGTCGGATTGAACCGAGGTCTGAAACTCTTTGGCTTCAACCTCTATGAAGGACATCACTGCCCTCTTTGGTCACATCACTCTTGGCCAAAGTAGGGCAGGTTTGCAGTCTAGGTTCATCAGGGAGAGTGCAAACAGCAGAGTGGGTGTGAAATGATGTCATGGTGTTATTGGGTCACATCAGCACTGCTGATTCATGTTCACCACAGTAGCTGGAAGGAGACGCTGCATGTTTTCTTTGGATGTCGTGTCTCCTGCCTTCCTAATGTGACGGTGGTTTTATGAATCTTGGTACCAGATATTAGACGGAACATAAATCAGACAGAATATAAAACCAGAACACTGATTAAACTGATAAAACTTTCCGGGTTCTGTTTTTCGTGCTGAATATTTCAGTCAGTGGTAGATCCAAATGTAGATATACCGAATCTCTTCAGCTCCTTCAGGATTAGACCTGCTACTGGTTTAATCCCAGTTCCTTAAGCTCAGAGGTGACTGGGCAGAGACGCGTCCTGGTTCTAATAATATGGATCAGGCTGTTTCCAACCCAGCGGCTTTTAAAGGACGGTTCCGGGTTTAACATTCATCCGCTCTCACTGCACTGGATCGTTAACTTTAGTCCTGATCCAGAGTAAATCAAGATGTCGTCTTGATGCCGTCACAGAGGAGGCGAACCCTGTCATCTGACAGAACTTCATAAACGCTAAAATTCATAGCTCTGCAGTCGGGCTGATCAGGACAGAGGAGCTGAGTAGATCTCCAATTCATTTCTAAACCTCTAACCGCCCGACGGCGCCGCCATGTGGGAGGAGCTATATACATGATGAGGCTCAGTGGGAGAAATGCAGCCCCCAAACACAGGAGCTACTGCAGATGTTCAGATTCTGGGCAAAGATCTGCAGAAACCAACCAGAGAAGCTTTACTCAGTACTAACTAAACAATATCTATCTAGATAATATCTACAGAAATTAAGGCTGGGTGTCGATTTTAATTCTAGATTAGATTTGATTCTGATTCTTAAGATTTAGAAACGATTCTTGATTCAAACTGGATGACTGAATCTGCAGCATATTGATTCTAGTATTTCATTAAATAGCAATTCTGTTTCATGGAGGAATTTTTATGAAATGATTCTTTTGGTTTATGAACTGATTCTAAAATGGAAAATCTAAACCTTAAACATATTTTTTCTAAAATTTCTGTTTATTTTTATTCCTCCAACATGTGAAGGAGCAGCACTCTAGCGCCCTCTGTTGGCCCTTAAAGATGTTGGCGTTTATAAATCTGCTCTTTAAATCGATCAGAACTTTTCAGAACTTTGGTTTCTGATTTCTTATATTTCTTTAGTTAAGAAACTTCTTGAATCTTAATCCTATTCTGATCACATGACGTGTTTCATGATGGTCAGATGGCATCTAGGTATAGAATATCTACTGCTTGATTAGAACAGGTCTGGCTCGTTGATGTGCTAAAGGTTCTGAACATGGTCCACCTGGAATAGGAAGCAGGTTCCGGGACCGCCCCCTCGTGGGTAGGAATATAGCTGGTTTCATCAGAACCTTAGTCTAGATGTCTGGACTGTTCCTTTAAAGAGTTTCTGCTGTGGATCCGACCCTAGAACCTCCAGAACATCTGTTTTAATCTGATCATGGTTCTGTGGATCCACAGATATCCTCCAGAACCAGCCTCTGGTCTTGATCCATCAGGTGGAACCAGATCAGCTTGGAGGTTCTGATTGGTCCAAGCTGGAGACATAAAACTGGTGGTTCCGAAATCCATTTCCTGTCCTCCTCTGATGTCACATCCTGTGATCAGAGCCCCAGGTGGGTGAAGAGCAGCGGAACAAGGAAGAGGAGGCTGAAGCCCATGGTTCCGTAGACGATGTAGCGGTAGGGCAGTTCTACCTCCATGTTCTGCCGGGCCTTCCTCAGGTCCGAGCTAGGAACCCTGCTCAGCCGGCACACCACTGGGATGGTAACGGCTTTCATCAGGGCCCGGGTGGCCACCAGAACCAGCACCCCCAGGAAGAGCCGCAACATGGCGGCCCAGAAAAGGCCGGCGCTCAGAGCCGGCACAGTGAGCGGGAGCTGATCCGCCGCCACGTCCGGCATGAGGTCCCAGAGCCGGTTTACATGCGAGGCCAGCGCCACGCCGGCACCGACACCCAGGATCTGGGCAGTGTCGCCCCGGGACGTGCTCCAGGAGTCCAGGGTGAAGGAGAACAGAGCCAGCGCCAGGGTGATGACGATGATGACCGGCGGAGCGAAGCGGGAGTTCAGGTTGAAGCCGTCGATCAGGTCCAAGGCGGGGAGGAAGAAGAGGAGGATGAGGACGCTGTAGAGAAAACCGACGATGACGTCCTGTGGGAGAAACGCAGAAACAGAACCTGTAAATCTGCTGTAGAAAGAGGGCACATAGAACCTGCTTCCCTCTGACTGAAACCCTCCAATCTGACCAGCACTGAGTGCATCCCCATGTAGATCCGGCTGGAGCAAACCAACATACACCAGCAGATAGCCACGCTGAAGCCCAGCGACGAAGGATACTGTGGAGACAAGAGAAGTTTGACCACATTACAGCTGGACGGCAGCTAAATACAGAAATGCATCAAATAGATGAAGTTTAAAATAACTACTAGGGAAAAGTCTAACAAATAAAGAGATTAAAGGAAATTCAGAAACTCGGGCAAAGTTTAGTTTGAATTTCTTGATTTGCTCAGCAGCAGGAGAGCAGCTCTACTTCTACTGTCACACCTGTTAAGGTCTGGTTATCGTCCCGCAGCAGCGTGTCGCAGGGATGATGCAGATATTTTTGATTTATGCCCAATATTGAAGGTTTCTCTCTCTCTAGACGCTTCCACGGCATTTGACCGGATTGAACACAAATATCTTTTTGCGGCTCTGGAGAAGTTTGGTTTTGGTTCAGCTTTCTATGCTAGTCCACAGGCCTCTGTCCGTACTAATAAAACAACCTCAAACTATTTTCCTATATGCGGGGGGGACAAGGCAGGGCTGTCAGTTGAGCTCGCTTCTATTTGACCTAGCCACAGAACCACTAATGATTGAACTTGTAAGAAGAGTGATCAGAACCGCTAACCTGTCCTATAAAGGGTTAAGGGTTGTTGTGTCCTTGACTGTAAGACTCGACTTTAGTCTCCTGACTTGAAAATGCGCTATAAGTAGTGCTAGCATAGTAGCTTCATCTGGTCTGTTCCTCCATCCTGGAGAGAAATATCAGCTGTGCTGCTGCCATCAACACTTTTGTTTCTAGATGTTGGAGATCAGCCTGTTTTTCAGTGTAGTCCTGTTTCTCTGACTGTGACTAACTGGATGTGCTCTCTTCATCCTCTGACATGGGAGCTGGCTTGGAGTTCGTTGCCTTTTGTATCTATGCTTCTTTTTCAATGTCTGCTTTTGTCTCCTTGAACCCCAGTCGGCCTCAGCAGATGGCCCGTTCACGCTGTGCCTGGTTCTGCTGGAGGCTTCTTCCTGTTCAAAGGGAGTTTTTCCTCTCCACTGTCGCTACAAGCATGCTTAGTGTGAGGGATTGCTGAAGAGTCAATGAGTCGATGCAATCAGCTAGTTTCCCTTAGATAGAAAACTTTGAATCAATCTGACCAGAATGATCTGGTTGAGTCGTCTACATAAAGTGACCTGAGGTGACATGATGTGAATTGGAGATATAGAAATAAACTGAATAGAATTGACAGAGGCTGTTTAATACTCAAAAATTGTGGCAAAAATTGTGGAAAATATGTAATTGATGGTTTAGAGAAACATGTAATTGATGGTTTCATGTGACGTCTGCGTTTGTCAGAAAGTTTGGACTGAAATGTTTCTTATATTGGTCAATAAGTCAGAATCAATAATAAAACCATAATCTTTTAATGCTTTTCATTCGATTGAAATGGATTCAGCCTGAAAAACAAAACCAAGAAAACACTTTAACCTCTAAAATGTTTCCAGGGTTCAAGTTAGCAGCTTGTATTATTTGCTTAATATATACCTTATATTAAGCAAAGCTGCTGTCAAAGTTCCATGAACAGAGAAGGGGTCCCTAAATGGACAGAAAAGGGGTGCCTCAGAAGACCCCACGGGGTGCGCTTGTTTACCTGCCAGCGGCCATGGCTCAGGAAGAACAGGGAGAAGGGGATGGCGGTGCCGGACATGGCGTGGGTGGAGGGCATGCTGTACTCAGAGTTATAGAACATCTCCACTTTGACCACGGGTGGAGAGGCGGGTCTGGGCCAGCCCAACACGTCCTTGGTGCACTGACCCAGGAACATGACCCACACCCACACCATGATCAACCTCCTGCCCACGAACGCGTCCACGTTCCACATGAGGAAAGGGAAGAAGAGGGTGTAGAACAGCTCGTTGCCCAACTCCGTTCCCAGGGTGAAAAAGAAGAACAGGAACCGGTTCTGGATGACAAACTCCTGCCCCGCCTCTCCCGTCAACGAGTTCCTGCGGAGCGGCTTCAGAGTCCTGACCTCCCCGGGCGGAGCGGTTCCGTTAGGGGAGACATCCTCCACCTCCTGCTCCACTTTACTCTGCCCGCTCTCACCTGGACTCCTCCTCTGAACTCCGCAACAAGCCAAAACTTCCTCTCCAGTTTCGCCGGCTGTGTAATGATGGACAGCCCCGTTGTTGGTAAAGTCAGCCCGCTCCGCTGACCGAGCGGCGGCGCGGATCCCGCAGACTCGCTGGAAGCGAGCGACCAGCTGGGGCTCTTGGAGGAGCCGAAGATGTTTCCTGATCTCCTCCATGTTGAGCGGAGCTGCGGGAGGAACCTCTGAACTTCCTCCGGGCGGTAGGCGGAGCTCCTGTCTGACGTGAACTTTGCTCTGCGAGAAGGCGGACTGGCTGCGACGAAGGAAACGAGCAGACTGTGATGCCTTCAGGGGCGGTTGGAAATGTGCGACATTTGTTATACAGGAGACATACCGTAACTAATACAGATATTGAAAAACTAGACATTTTATATTTAAGCCCAACTTTGATCAGATCAATATTACAGATTATTCCGTTCTCTCCAGTGACCTCAGCGTCAGAATAACCACCGCCTAGAGAGAGTGAACGCCACATGGCCGTCTGTGCGTCAGAGACGCCGCCATATTGAGAGTGTCAAACATCCGTTAACTTTTTAAATAAAAATAACAATTGAGTGTTTTTTTACACACCTTTTTGTAAATTTAAACGTTAAGTATTTTAAGACATATAAAAACCGGATTTTTGTATGATAGAAAACTTTATTAGAAGGATTTCTAATAAACCATCCTGGTCTGCAGCTCATCCATGTCTGACCTACAGGGCGGCGCTAATGAGACCAAATGACAGTTTCCACCCCTAGAAGGCGCACTGAGGTCTCCCGAGCAAAGTAGTGGGATTAGGAAAGATTTGAAACCAAAAGTTGTTTTTGTTTTGTCAAAATAAAAGCTCTAATTTCTATTTTCTGCAGGAGACGCTTCAGAATCAGGTGCATTATACTGGAAAGTTAGAGAGGAAAATAAAATCATTGGTTACTACGGGTGATCATTATTCATTTGATAGAGGGATAATCTTGGTCAATCAGCTCATATATTGACTTTACATGTCATAAAATAAATAAATATGCAAAAATATGCAGAGCGATACCAAAAGGAATCCTACATTTGTTAAAGAACAATGCTTTCTGAATAACAATATAGTGGTAAGACTGACATCACTGTAAAAACCATATTCAAATATATTAGAAACCTTATTCCACCTGTTAACTGAAGGAATAAACTGGGACAGTCAGAGAAGTGTTCTTTAAAATTCTCCATAATACATAACCTGCAAAGATAACTAGAAATATTCAACTTATTAAACTTATTAAAGATTCAGATTAAACTTTGAGATGCCAAAGATTTGACATTCATCACATAGAACCAGAAACCATCATTCACCTGTTTTACCTGCAGAAATAACCTTTGGGCTCACCTACATTTTAATATTATATTGCCCAATTATCACTTACAGCAACTTATTTACATTAAACAGATTTTCCCCTCTTGATTGCAACCCTAAGATCATAGTCAGTAAAAAAAAAATGACTAAACGAAATGGACTGCATTTTGATGATAAGGTGAAACCAAATTAAAATACTATAAAACATGTTATGAGAAAGAAAGCAGTTTATCTTCTGAAAGTTGCAAGCAAGTATATTGAGTTTGATCTTTTCTTTTGATCTCTCTGAATCCTTTTTTCCCTCCTTCTGTTATTTATTCTCTTAAATTACTTCTATTAAACTTCTTTGTATATCTGTGATTTACTTGATTACATATCCATCCGTCCATCATCCATCCACAGGCTTCAAGATGCTTTATCTGCTCTATGCTGCCATCATGTGGACAATAAATGTAAACCAGGCGTGGTGAATGTTTTTTCTCCTAAAGTTTCCAGTGATTCCAGTAGGAAAATCCTTCATATGAACCAGTCTATGATGGAATGACTGGTAACCAGATTTGGGTTTCTGAAAAGGAGGATTTTTCTTCTTTTTTTTTTTTCTGGGGAGCAGGGAGCCAGCAGGCGGGGGGGAAGCACAGGGCCTTCGGTGTCCAGGCTACCATCACTGCAATGGAGTAACTTTGCGATGAAAGGTGGGGACACTCGGATGGTGCCTCATGGACCTACTGTTACACTTTCATTTGGCTAATTTTCCAAGAATGAGCTCAAACATCTATTTATTGAATCCTATCCTATTTTTGAGAACACAAGACCACAACACACTGATATCTATATTTATAGCTGTTAGAGAGATGCCTTTTGGTGCATTATAAACATAGGGCCTCAAAAACAGCAATGCATGAAAAAAAAAATAAATAAATAAGACCCAATTTCAATGCCAAAATTTATATATCATGCATCCCTAGAATTTAAATTCCATCCATCATCAAAATGGATATGCTGCATTTTAGATAAAGCTTAGCATGTTTCTTTCTTGTAAACTTGGAGATAATTTTTATTGCATGTTGCATATCCTAGTAAATCTGTTTCACCTTCAAATCTGCAGCTCTCCCTACTTCTCTCTCTGCTCTGTTTAAAATTATTTATGAACCTCTTTACTAATATAATGATGCCAGAAACTAAATTTCAAGATATGTGGAACTTCTGATGTCTGATTCTATCTGCTCAATAAGAAAACATAATTTTAACCCGTAACATGGAGTCATGGTCCTCAGAGAAGCTTTTTTTTAACTAGTAAAGAAGAACAAACTGTTTTCTCAAACTTCTTGCATTATAATACTAACTTGTTTAAACTTACCATCTGTTGCCATTTTTAGCTGAAAAGGCTCTGTATGTTTAAAAAACAGATTTGTCAGTGGTATGAGCTCAAATTTTTTTAACCAACACGTCTCCTATCTTTTACTTAAACATCTATGACAGTAGCTGCTGGTTAATATTCACTGAGTGCTGCTGTGTGTCTCTCCTCCAACCATGTAGCTACTCTCTAAGCAGTGAAATGCAACCTAAGATCAGATGTCTCAAAGCGACAGATCTGATGATGTGAGACCGAGAAGCGGGACACGGGAGCAGTGGGAGAGAGGAAAAAATAAAATAAATAACACTCAAAACGTTGAACCCAACCTCCATTACCCCTGCTGGCTCCCTGCCCCCTTCCGCCGGGGTTCCCTGGCCAGCCCCGGAACTGATGGCTCGGTTCGAGTGCCTGCCGTGTTTCGACTAAACTAAACTTCTGACTGACGACATGCTATTTTTTTTTTATTTAGTCTCGTCTCGTCGACGAAAACTCAAACCTACGACTCGTCATGTTTTAGTCATTAAAGATCCACGTTTAGCTCATCAGTTTTCATTATCGTCATTATAAAAAGGAGCGTCAATGAAAAGATTTCATCATCGTCATCTTTGACAAAACACTGCAACTGAACTGAGAAACAAGAAGTTGTTTCTAATGACAATAACCAGACCGGTAGCTGGGAAACTCTGGGAGCCTAAAAACAAACAATCGAACCCAGATCTGAAAAGATGCCTGACGAGGTGAACACCACATCTGGATGACAAAATCTAGCCAAGGGTTCAGGCAGGATCTTGCCTGAATCTTGAAGAGAAACGGCTCTTTTCCAGATAACAGAAAAAGGTAGAGCAACATTCAGCTCTTGCCCAAACAACCTGATAACGAAGCACCTTCTAAGCCGAGAACATTAATGATGATTAAGCGCCTCTGCAGCAATTACAACACAGATATAGTTATTAAATGGAGACATTATTCATCTGCTTAACACTGAAACAGACACATTTGAAAGTTTTTGTAAAGTGACTATCATCCAGACATTAGTCAGGTAGAGGAGAGCAGGGATCTGCTCTACATGTTGAATCCAAGGAGGACATAAAGCTATACTGCAGTTAGGGATGTTTTTTCAATTCTATTCAGTTTATTTCTATAGCTTCAATTCACAACACCTCATCTCAAGATCATCCAGTCAGATTGATTCAAAGTTTTCTATCTAAGGAAAATTGACTGCATCGACTTATTGACTCTTCAGCAATCCCTCACACTAAGCATGCTGGTAGCGACAGTGGAGAGGAAAAACTCCAGCAGAACCAGGCTCAGTGTGAGCGGCCATCAGCTGAGGCCGACTGGGGTTTAAGGAGACAGAAGCAGGCATAGAAAAAGAAGCATAGATAAAAAAGGCAACTGTCAACCAGCTCCACAGGCGGCTCCGTCCAGGAAACACACAGCCAGGCAGACGAGCTCCGAGCCAGCTCCCATGTCATAGGATGAAGAGAGCACATCCAGTGAGTCACAGTCAGAGAAACAGGACTACACTGAAAAACAGGCCTAGCTCCAACATCTAGAAACAAAGGTGTTGATGGCAGCAGCACAGCTGATATTTCTCTCCAGGATGGAGTCACAGCCAAACAGTAACAGACCAGATGAAGCTACTATGATGATAGTAAAGAGAATTGGTCCTAGCACTGATCCCTGTGGTACTCCACAGGTAACCCTGGAGCATGAGGAAGATTTATCATTAAAGTGAACAAACTGAAATCGAACAGATAGATAAGATTTAAACCAGTCTAGAGCTGTTTCCTTAATTCCAACGAAATATTCAAGTCTTTCTAAAAGAATATTATGATCAACTGTATCAAATGCAGCACTGAGATCCAACAGGACGAGCACAGATACAAGTCCATTATCTGAGGCCAGGAGAATATCATTAGTGACTTTCACCAGAGCTGTTTCAGTGCTATGATGAGCTCTAAAGCCAGACTGAAACTATTCAAAAAGTTCATTATGGTGTAAGTGACCGCACACTTGTTTGGCAAACACTTTCTCAAGAATTTTGGATAAGAAAGGAAGATTGGATATAGGTCTATAATTGACCAAGTCATCTGGGTCAAGAGACAGTGTCTTAAGCAAAGGTTTAATTCCAGCAACCTTAAAAGCCTTTGGTACATATCCCTGTAACAGAGATAGATTTATCACATCTAAAATGGAGGAGGGGATCAAAGGGAATACCTCCTTAAATAACCTGGTGGGAACTGGATCTAACATCCAAGTTGAAGGCTTAGATGAAGACAATAGTGCTGCTAACTCTGAAAGTTCAACTGGATCAGTGCAGTCTAAACCCGGTTCAGATTCTATTGCTACCTCAGATGCTGCCCCACCCTCCAGACATTTATTGAAGCCTTTCTCTATGAAGCATTTTACAATAGATAGACCTGCAGACTTAATAGCTTTAAAGTTGCAATAAACAGATATAATGGCACCCTGCTTTAGATT